ATACTTAAACTTGTACTTACCGACTGTCATAGGTCCTGTCAACTTCATGAAATATAATCCAATTAAAACACAAAATGAATTAATTTCCACTGATATACATGTAACACTGCACCATGTCACATGGCATGTGCAATCTAAAAATGATAATGTAAAACTAGTACTAGTACTGGTAGGGTGACGCAAGCCCAATGTGATGTAGAAATTTTCAAAAAGGTGTTCACATACATGTACAGTACAAGAACAAATTTTAAATTATCATAAGATAACAAACAATGTTTTAACATAACTTTGCCATCTAGGCCTATTTCCAAAAACAGGCAAATTGTGTGTGTGTGTTGGGGGGGGGGGGAGGGGGTTGACAAAATTGATTGGGTATGGCTTTTAAAGGAGGTTTTTGCCTAATCAAATACTAAAAAAAGTTTGCACATTTTGATAAATTCATCAAAAACGCTTTGTACTAAAATAATATTATTTGTTGTTGAGAAAATAAATTTAAAAAGTTCCAATTATGGGCCAAAAATTTATATCCCCCCCCTTTTATCAAAACCTAATTTACATCATTAATTAAATTCTGTTATTTCAGACTGGTAATGAATTAAGTATATGAAATGCGTATAAGAGGTTCATGGGTCACATAGTCACCTGAGCATTTTATGCTCGATTTGACGAATACATTTTCTGTGTAAATTATAGAATTATTTGGACTTTTTCCTTGGAATGCCCAATATGAAGGAGTGTGCATTTAGAGGCAAACACCTTAGTGCGGGTATTACTGTCTCATGACAGCATCTAGTTTTAGATTATATGTGACAAAAGCATAATGATAGGCATGGTTACATCAAAACAAAAATGATTCTAACTAAATTTACATGGGCAATAAGTAAATAAACATAAATTGTTTATGCTAATATTAATGTGTAAATAAAGCTTATTCAATTTTTTATTGTTGGTTTGTGCATTTTCCCACTTAAAAATATAAACATCACAAAAAGATTTAACCTCGTAACTCTCACATCTCAAAAAACAAGTTCATTACAGCCATTTATCATTGTGATAAGAATACACACATCTATATGCTAAAGGACAATCAAGGATGGATGTCACTATTATATGTTTTTGTTTGTTCGTTTATTGTTTAACGTCCCTCTCGAGAATTTTTCACTCATATGGAGACGCCACCACTTGCCGATGGAGAGCTGCAAATTTTCACCTATACTCGGCACTCATGGCCATTGAGCAGTGAGGGATCTTTTTCGTGCCAGCACCTAATGCTACACGGGACCTGAGTTTATACGGTCTCATCTGAAGGACCGGTCTCAACGTCCCACAGTGGGATTCGAACCCGCGATGTAAGGATCAAGTCCTTACTTTGCGACTCTAGAGCAGACGCTCTAACCACTGCACAATGCGGGCCATTATTTTATGTAAACTTGGAGCCATTGAGAGTAAAATATAAACAATTTTACATGCATGTAGCACAACCTGGAGAACACTTTGAGAATTCAAGAGTAAATTTGTTTTATTTTAAACTGGGACCATGGTTTTACTACTGAGATGAGGAACTTTGAGAGATGAAAGTTTGAGTCATCAAATGTGTAAAACTATGACAAAGTTAAACCCATGATAACACTCACCCCTTCTGAGCTCTGTAACACTTCGTAAGGATGAAGTCTGTATTTCTCCTCTCTATCATATCTTTGATTATTTCCTTATTTTCTTTTTAAGATGCATACTCAGACTGAAATCACATTCACTTAGATAGTACACTGTATTGTCACTAAAGAAAAAAATGGAATCTGAATCCAGCTTCACTTTGGAAAAAAAAATAAGAGAAAATTAAGCATGTATCCTCACCAACACAATTCACTTTGTCACGTAAATAAAAAATCGTTAGTATTGGTATGTTGTTAATACTAGTATTGGTATATTAACAATAGTATTAGTATGTTATTAACACATGTATTGGTTTGTTATTAACACTAGTATTGGTAAGTTATTAACACTAGTATTGGTATGTTATTAACACTTGTATTGGTATGTTATTAGTCCCCTACCGGTGAAACCGGAGGGGACTATAGGTTTCCTCTGAGTCTGTCCGTCCGTCTGTCTGTCTGTCTGTCCGTCTGTCTGTCTGTCAGTCTGTCCCACTTGGTTTTCCGCACTTTTTTCCTAAACGCTTGCAGATATTGAGCTGATTTTTGGTATGTGAGTGTATCTTGATGAGTTACAGATCAAGTTTGCATTTCGTTCCGCTTCATTGATTTTTGACGGAATTACGGCCTTTTCAATTTTTTCGGGTTTTCCGCAATTTTCTTCTAAAAGCTTGTAGATATTGAGCTGATTTTTGGTATGTGGCTTTACCTTGATTAGTTACAGATCAAGTTTGCATTTCGTCCCGCTTCATTAATTTTTGACGGAATTATGGCATTTTCAATTCTTAACGGGAACGGAACCAGATTACACTTGCCGGTAGGGGACTAGTATTGCTAATGCAATACTCTCAGAATGCTTGTTAACACTAGTATTGGTATATTATTAACACTAGTATTGATTTGTTGTTAACATTTGTACTGGTACATTGTTAACATTAGTACTGGTATGTTGTCAACACTATGTAAAATTGTGAGAAAATTCTGCAGAACTGAGAAAAAATTAAATTGGAAAGCAAATATTTATAGATATCTACAATTTCCTTCTTGTCATGACTCCGACAAATGGTTAAAATAAAAATTATGCTTTTGGATTGAGCTTTTGCTAATTACAACAAAAATTACAGGGAAAATGTTTTGTCAAAATCAGAATTGTGATTATCTTCCTAGACAACTTTTAACCATTACTCAAATACTGACACAGCATTAAATAATTATGAATAATCGATATAAAGCATTATACATTGTTTGAATATAACAAATTATAGGAATGTGTGTGTGTGTAAATATGTGTGAATTGAGTATTATTTTAAGGATAATGAAAGAAAAAGTGAGCAAGCTCACATACCCCACGCTTCCCCAAAACTCGACAATGCAACACGTAATGAATGGCACAGTGCATTTTAAATACACAGTATAATTCAAAAAAGGGGCATTACTTGCAAAAAATCATCACATCAAAACTTCTTGCATATAAGGACATTCAAATCTTTGTATGTTACAAATTTAACTGGGCTGAAGTTTCTAGATAAATAATGGAATCAAAATTTCTTGGTAATATACAAATCTATACATTATTCTGAAATACCTACAAAGTTTCAGGAAATTCAGTGCCGGAATTATGCTGACAAACTGTTATTTAAATTCCTCAGTGTTTTCGATTTGTTAATGAGTGTAAGTCCATGTCCAACACATGACAGTTTACACATTTAAATAATTGATGGAAACAAAATTATGATGTAGTCATATGAATCTGTTTATATACTGTACTTATGAAATTATTTAAGGCAAAGCACACCAATTTGAAGAGGGGGGGGGGAGAGAGAGAACTATCGAAGATGGTGTGTGTGTGAGTGTGTGTTTGTGTTAAACCATTAATATTTTGATCTCAAAATCAATAGGGGTCTTTTAAGGTCATAAAATATTTCACATAGAATTTCATTATAAAAAGCTGATTCCAGTGGAGTTTCTTATTACCTAGCTGGAAAGTTTCTTCAATAAAAGGCAAAACTCTTAAGGCAAAAATAATGGAATCAGAATTTCCTGGTAATATGCACATCTACACACTGTGTACTTAATATCTGCAAAGTTTGTCCAAATTCTGTGCAGCGGTTTAAGAGGAGTTGTGCTGACAAACTGTTCATCTCTATATTCAAGATATGGCCAAAAACCTAAGTTGAAAAGTGCCGAAATTCCCAGAAAAAATAAAGGAATCGGAATTTCCTGGTAATATGCACATCTACACACTGTGTACTAAATATCTGCAGAGATTGACCAAATTCTGTGCAGCGGTTTAAGAGGAGTTGTGCTGACAAACTGTTCATCTTTATATTGAAGATATGGCCAAAAATCTAAGTTGAAAAGTGCCGAAATTCCAAGAAAATATAAAGGAATCGGAATTTCCTGGTAATATGCACATCTATACATTGTGTGCTAAATATCTGCAAAGTTTGACCAAATTCTATGCAGCGGTTTAATAGGAGTTGCGCTGACAAACTGTTCACCTCTATATTCAAGATATGGCCAAAAACCTAAGTTGAAAAGTGCCGAAATTCCCAGAAAAATATGGAATCGGAATTTCCTGGTAATATGCACATCTACACACTGTGTACTAAATATCTGCAAAGTTTGACCAAATTCTGTGCAGCGGTTTAAGAGGAGTTGCGCTGACAAACTGTTCATCTCTATATTCAAGATATGGCCAAAAATCTAAGTTGAAAAGTGCTGAAATTCCCAGAAAAATAATGGAATCGGAATTTCCTGGTAATATGCACATCTACACATTGTGTCCTAAATATCTGCAAAGTTTGACCAAATTCTGTGCATTGGTTTATGAGGAGTTGCGCTGACAAACTGTTCATCTCCATATTCAAGATATGGCCAAAAATCTAAGTTGAAAAGTGCCGAAATTCCGAGAAAAAATAAAGGAATCGGAATTTCCTGGTAATATGCACATCTACACATTGTGTCCTAAATATCTGCAAAGTTTGACGAAATTCTGTGCAGCGGTTTATGAGGAGTTGCGCTGACAAAAAAACAGGACTGACGGACTGACTGACTGACGGACGGGTCAAAAACATTATACCTCACGCAACTTGTTGCGTGGGGTATAATAAATTTACTATATGTACATGTACACATATAACACAAATAGAATGGTATACTTGGGAAAGATCATATATTTAATTGTATAGATTATTTTCATTGCGAGGACAATCAGTTCGGAAACTCACTTGTATAAAGGATCTTTCGAAGCGTCAGAATAAAATATGGTGAAATACTTTACGCTTGGAGTGTCATTTTCAGTAAATAAATAATATTCAAAAAAAAGAGAGTGTGTACATGTACACGGCATTTAAATGACTTTATTCAAAGATTCCTTTTCATATTCATATGATCAATAATTTCCAACACTTCATATTTCTAATTTGTACAATTTTTTTTTTATCAGAAATTCAAATTTACTTTCAATTATCTGCTGTAAAATTTGTAACCATATGATTTACATTGCTTTAATTCAATGAAAATACACTATGAAAACTGTAAGTCCTCAAGTCACATGCTTTTTTCGAATTAATTTTTTTTCATACATCATAACAGCAATAAATTGTTTCAATGCATGTTTCAGCACATGTCCTTTTGTACAACTCTGATCATGTTGACCTGTCATGTCAATACCCACAATTATTGTACACTCTGTTTGATTCACACTTGTATAACATTGTTCATTCATACACCCTCTTGGATCCACCTCTGAAGTTGTAATTCAAACACATCACTGGCTCTCCTATGACTCTTTAGATCCTCCTCTAGTTTTTCAAACTGTTCTGAGATCCGGGGCTGATTTAGAGTCTTGTCCAGACTGTATCGTCCATATCTCCAAACACTAACCTCAGAGTCATTTACCGAGTCCCCCAAAGACACACTGACCTCAGGGTCATACATTGAGTCCCTCAAAGAATTCTTAGACATGACACTCACTTCCTCTACGGACTCGTACATACTCCAAAGAGGCAGGTTTGTAACATCTGTGGAAGTAGTTTGATCTATGTCTGTTCCATTCACTAAACTCTCAAGGTATTTGTCAAACTTTTTGGACTTGAGTTTCTCTTCTTCAATAGTTGTGGACAGAAGATCAGATGTTTGCTTGGCCTCACAAACAGTCTGAGGTAGTGGGTCCACAGTGTTAGACTTCTCCTTCTGTGTGACACTGGATGGTCCAGTCTTAAGGTTCCTGAGAATCCTTCTGCGTGTTAACTCCTTAGCGGCTGCTCTGTAAAATGTCTTCTCAAGGGAAACATTTCCTGAAGAATAAACACATAAATATGTAACATTTCTACAATTTATTTTTCATTTTTTTCATGGAAAAGAGTACACATAATCTGTTAAAAGATGTTTTTTTTTACATAATCTCCAAATATCATATTTTAAGTTTTGTTTGTTAGTTTGTTTAAATAAGAAAATAAATTTTCAATTGTAGGAGTACCTATACACTGCTGGTTACAACACAAGCACAATGTAGTGAGCTTTACTTATTGTATCAACATCACACTTTATAAACCAACCTTCTCTGTCTCTTTCATTTTCTAGATACCGCCACTCAACAGGAGGGTTAAAGTCAAAGAGGGCATCCTTGCTGTACACCAATAATACCTCCTCAAGTCCACTCTGTAGAACATTTTAAAAGAACTCAATCACAGCATTTCAACAACAGAACTTTGTAAAAATACAAGATACCTAATTCTTAGCTTCATGACAAAATATTTCTTGAAATTCAAAATCGTATATTAACATCTTAAAAATTTGAGTTTGGTAACTAAAAAATGTAATGAATCAAAATAGACAAATAAAACCTCTGAATTTAGATCGGTAAAGTCTGCTACAGTGATCATGAATTCAACACAGGTCATAATGACATCAGTCCAGGGCATGTTGATGTAGGTTGGGCTACACTGACTGACCCCTGTACAAAGGTCACATGTATCCTCAAAGTCTAGACGTGTCTGTCGCAGCAGTACTCTAATTCTGGGGAAACAAAATAAGTAATTTAGAGGTGAATTATGCCATGGTTTCACCAGGCATTCAATTACTATATTATTTTCATCCTCATTTTGCAGGTATATAAAAATCTTTAAAATGTACCTGAATTGAAGGAGACTTATGAAATAATATTATACTGATGCCATACATAGCAATAAGAGGATGGCATTGAAAAAAATGAAAAAAGGACCTACAAGACTTTTCTTTAAAAGCCCATTGAAATCTTCAAATTTATCTATCATATGAAAAATGTGGAACGTACCCAACATTTCTGGGATATCACCTATAAATTAATAGACTTACTTAGATGTGAGATCTACACACTGAGATGGTGGAAATCCATCAGTAATTCTCTGAACAAAAGCCCATACATCACGACAGACTGTTGACCAATCATCATCCTCTTCTACACTGTAGGTAAAACTTGGCAGCTGAAGGTCATCCAGAAGGTCAGAGACCAATGTCATTTGTTTGTCTGTATTCCAATACAGGGGAGGTAAGTCTGATAGAAAAAAAGAAATGCTATAACTCTCCTAGACTATTTGGCCCATAGTTTCAGCAAGATCTTATTTATATTAATCTCTGTTACCTTATTCTATTAGTCTTGGAGTATCAAGATATTTTCTGATTGTTCAGTCAAGTTTATAATACCCACAACATACTCTATTTCTATACAATACAGCCTCTGCTCACAAAACCTTTTTGTCTATGTACATATTCTAGTTTATAATACCCACAACATACTCTATTTCTATTTCTCAAATACTTAGTATTAAATACACAGATTCTGCACTGTGCGATACGGGTGATGTCACAATACCCATATCAAGGACTTGTCCGAAAATCCATACCACGTATCAGATCGGCGGGCAAAAATCCATATCAAACCGGAAGTAATGTTTGTTTAAAGTTTAAAAGTTAATTAACTTGATCTTATTTAAATATACATGTAAAATAATTCTATACTATCATCTGTGGACTTAATTTGTTTTCAAAGACCTTAAATTTGCTTTATTAGATTTTAAAGAAAAAGGTCATAGACATGCACGAAACATTCTTCAATGATTTTATGTGAACTCGCATATTAAGTATTTTAAATATATGATAAATAGAATACTACATACTGAAATCCATATCATATGTCATATCAGCCCTCGGGCCCCATATCAGCTCTCGGTCCTTGGGCTGATATGACATATGATATGGATTTTAGTACGTAATATTCTCTATATAATACAGCCTCTGCTCACCTTTTTTGTCTGTGAACATGTTCTAGGTTACATTTACTTCTCTGTTACAAGGTCTAACATTGATTAGAAAGGAAAAATGAACAAAATAATTTCCATTTTCCCAATACTCTATATGCAGGAAGGAATCATCAAGTACAATGCACTCTCAATTCACAGAAAAGAGAATATAATGTAACATGTATTTATCCTGTACAAATGACAGTTTATTCAAATAGGCACCTTAATGACAGAAAGCTAAAGTCACTCAGACTTTCAACATTCTGGACACCATAACTTACCATGCATCTTAGAATGAGTGAATTCACTGACTGGCCAGGAATAACTCAACAGTTCTGGTGATGTCAGCACTTGTTGTAAATGAACAATCACAGCATTGTACAGGGTAATTATTGTGTTTGGGTCCTGTAAATGTATTTCAAGAGTTCAAGTTAATTATCAATCAACATCATTCCAAAAGAAAAACTAGAAATATGTCCATAGGACATGAATGCCCCGCCGAGGGTATATTAGTAATGAAGCATTTTAACACAAATTGAGAAAAGTGAGGTCAAGGTCAAAGGAAAGATCAAGGTGGAAAAATATTGATAAGGTTGAATAGCGTTCATCAGTATGTATCAGCATATGAAGTTTGACACTAATTTAAGAAAAGTGAGGTCAAAGGAAAGGTCAAGGTCAAAAATTGTTGATGCAGTTGAAAAGGTTACATCAATATGTATTAGTATATGAAGTTTGATAAAAATATTATGAATGGTTTCTTTAAAACTGAGCTAAACACTAATTTAAGAAAAGTGAGGTCAAGGTCAAAGTAAAGGTCAAGGTCCAAAAATATTGATGCAGTTGAATACCTTACATCAGTATGTATCAGCATATGAAGTTTGACACTAATTTAAGAAAAGTGAGGTCAAGGTCAAAGGAAAGGTCAAGGTAAAAAAATATTGATGCTGTTGGATAGCTCTCATCAGTATGTATCAGCATATGAAGTTTGTTAAAAATATCTTGAATGGTTTCATTAAAACTGAGCTAAACACTAATTAAAGAAAAGTGAGGTCAAGGTCAAAAGAAAGGTCAAGGTCAAAAAATGCTGATGCAGTTGAATAGCTTACATCAGTATGTATCAAAATATGAAGTTTGATTACACTATCTTGAATGGTATCTTTAAAACTGAGCTAAACACTGATTTAAGAAAAGTGAGGTCAAGGTCAAAAGAAAGGTCAAGGTCAAAAAATGTTGATGCAGTTGAATAAATTACATCAGTATATATCAACATGTGAAGTTTGATTACACTATCTTGAATGGTATCTTTAAAACTGAGCTAAACACTAATTTAAGAAAAGTGAGGTCAAGGTCAAAGGAAAGGTCAAGGTCAAAAAATGTTGATGCAGTTGCATAGCTCTCTTCAATATCTATCAGCATATGAAGTTTGATAAAAATACCTTGGATAGTTTCTTTGAAACTGAGCTTTGAACAGAGCTAAACGCAAAGTGTGACGGAAGGACAGACGGAAGGACAGAAGGATGGAGGGATGGAAGGACGGAAGACGAACATGACAAACACTATATGCCCCGGCCATATTCATGGCGGGGCATAAAAACACGAATTATATTCTTTTTTTAAACAACAAACACCTCCTTTCCTCAGCAAGTTTTCATTTATCACCTTATCAGACTTGCATGAAGGTAAGACGTACCAACTGTCATATGTCAGAACTTCTGTAAACATACTTATTTTAGCGGTATTCATATTTTGGCACCTTACATGTTGCTTCACTGTTATAGTGCGCTAATCAGTGGAAAAGGAAGATTGCACTAAATTTTAAGTGTAATAATCATGTTAACAACAGATTATCATTATCAATAGATTATAAATATAACATTTTCAACAAGTCTAGGTAATACTACGATATGTCCGTATGATAGCTGTGTTTCACCTGAAAGAAAACACTATCAAAATCCTGTTGTGGTGTAAAATATGCACCCCTTTCTCACAAAAACATTTTCTAGGAAAAAAGTGCGTATTATATTCAGCCAAATACGGTAATTATGTACGTTTAGAGTACCTTAAAGTACACTTAAAAATAATTAGTTTAACATGTATACCTAATGATGTTACTTCTTGAATAACATGAAAAGTTATTGAGTTTTTACTTTTTATCATTATATCTAGATTTAATAAAAATAAATTCCAATGTAAAAGGTGAACAAAATCAACACTGATCAATCCCATAGATCCAGTAAAGAATATGAATCTTAAACAGGTCAAAAACATGGCCCCTAATGTCTTACAAATAAATTATGACCTTGTGTCATGATCATGCCCCATTTTCAGGTCACGGGCAACAGAAATAGCTGTGAAATTGTTTACCAAAAACACACAGCCAACCATATGCATAAAGGCATCCATGACAAAGAACAATACACAGTAAAACACACTTCATAACAAAGTGCCAGGGACGGCCAATTCTGCTTCGTTATAAGCATAATTCGTTATATCCATTGTTTATATCTTAAACTCACAGGGAATGAAAATCACTTCCTGTAAGCATCGAATCATTATAAGCATGCTCACTATAAGTGTGTTTTACTGTATGTGTAATCATAATATATTTCTGCATTGGGGAGGGGCATACATTCAATATATAAGCTATATTTCATTTCCAGTAGAAAGTCTCACCTGGTGTAGATATCCACCGAGTTTCCTCTGTTTTAGGTTATATAACACTGGTCTGTAGAACTGATCCTGTATAAAGTCCTCCACCACAGCCCTACACTGCTGGACCATCAGATCAGGGGGCTCTGGGGAGTGTTCCGTCAGCCTTCTAACACTCTCTGATAACTATAGGTATCACAAAAGTTTAGGTCATAATGTATATCAAGACCACCACTTTTGTCTTAAAGTATACTTGTGATGAGGAAAAATTACTCCTTCAACCATTGCTTGCACTGACCAATAAAGGTAACCCAATAAACCACAGCCCTATTAGGTCAATGCAGAAATATAGCCTTATGCATTCTTAAGTCTAAAAGAATTGCGACTTATTGTACATCGCACTGATTACGCCATGACGTCAAATTGCAATTGCAGAGATGTGCACAAATTTGTTGAAAATCGCTTGTTTTGGAGGTTGTATGTAAAACTATGTTGCAGGATTAAAAAAATACATGATAACTGAGAAATATGGGCTCGTGTCAAAAATGCAAAGAGGGCTCGACAAGCTTTGATCTCTGTTATTTATAATACATTTTTAAAAAATGGAAATATTCACATTTGAACACTTACTTTTTCTGTGACCTCTGGTTCCTCAACATCCACACCTTTAGGAAAATCTTCATCATATTTCACAACACAGAGAGAAATGTCACTTATCTTCCCATCTTCAACCAACTCATCAATATTCAGACATCTCCTCTACATCTCCTCTGAAGTCCTCCTCTACATTTTCATTGGCTGGAACAGGACACAATACAACCAATGGGAGAGCAGGAGTGTTTGGCTTGTTCATCAAGAGATCTTCTAATCTTTTTTCTCTTCTTCGAATAGAAGCTAAAAGAATATTGAGATGTGAAAAAGAAATTATTATATCATTACAAAATATACTTAGAATCAAATTTGTGAATAAGAAGTCTGTTTCTTTTATAAAATGAATAGAGACAACAAACAGTACTCAAGCTCAAAAGTCCATTAAACAATACAAATTTTGAAGCAGAGCAAACACGGACCTCTAAAACATCAGAGGTGGGATCAGGTGCCATGGAGGAGTAAGTATCCACTGCTGACTGGTCACAGTCACACCCGCCATGTGCTCATCAGTCAGCATTTGACATAATGATAAATTGTATTTGCTGACAAGGTCATTGTATTGACCATAGAACTTACGAAATGACGACTTTAAATGAGACTGGTGATATTCTTGTTTCATCAACTTGTCAATAACTTACATCGTTTTAGAAATTATTCATACGTAGAGCATGCTCTTGCGTATCGAATCAACAGTGAGATATAAGTAAAATAATGTGAAAATAAACCATTTTGACCTTGACCTTTTGAATGAACAACCTCAAACATTTAAGAGCATTCATTTTTCAATGTCACCTATGCAGTAAAAAAGTTCTTTTCAGTTTAAAAGAATATAAAGTACTGCTTCACTTAAATAAGTATACTAGTAAGCCATATCTTGACCTCTATTCAACAGATGTCTTCCCTAAACCTTCATCTATGTAGTAAACAAAATTTAAGAAGTTTTCACAGCAGTTTTTTTTAAGTAAAATAAAACATCTACCTCTGAACTATTGACTTACCCACTCTGGATCTTCAATGAGAGGTGGAGGCATAACAAAAAGAAGACATGAGGTTCCCAGAAGGGAGCCAGGTACATCATGAATGGATATATTACCCTCCAGGAGTCTCACACAAACACCCAGACTGCCCGATATTTATTCATATATACATGTAATTTAATTCTGGTTGTAACGCTGTATTTGATTGGATAAAAAATTTACTTTATATCGTATAAAATTGGTTGCCTACGTCACAATGACTTGCGTCAAAAACGTATCGATCCGCCTGACGTTACATTCAAATTTTGTACAAATTAAAGTCATTTTTTAAGGACAATCATCTTTTTTTCTTAAACCAAATAGATGAAAATTAAATTATAAGGAATGAATTTAATAGCTACCCAATTTATACGGTATAACCTTTGTTGAAACAGTTTACGCTATTTTACAAACTGCTTCGCGGTTTATTAAGCGTAAACTGCCCCAACCCAGTTTTTACCGTACAAAATGGGTAGCTATTAAATTAATTCCTTAATAAGTAACTGGTACAGTATATAAACTCAGCAGTTCATTCTGTCATTGAAACAAATAACACTGATATAAATAACAAATAACACTGATATTAATAACAAATAACACTGATATAAATAATGACAATAATACTGATATAAATAATGACAATAATACTGATATAAATAACAAATAACACTTATATATGTAACAAATAAAACTGATATAAATAATAAATAAAACTGATATAAATAACATATAACACTGATATAAATAACATATAACACTGATATAGATAACAAATAACACTGATATAAACAACAAATAAGACCAATATAAAAATAATTCTCATCTAAAACTCTTAAGTCTCTTTCAGTGACATATTTGATTTCCTTATCAGACTATTCTCATCCAAACATCAAATAATATCTTTCAAATATCTGTTGATTATACAAGTAGTTCGATTTACATGTATTGAAGAGTGTTGGTGAGATTTGGATGTCCCTCTTGAGAATTTTGCCTTCAGCCATTTTTTGAGATGACTGAGACTTTGACTTTGGTGGTCTGTCTGTATGTAGTCTGGGTCTGGTAAAGAAATCACTAGTTTCCCTTGACTGCTCAGTAAAACATGGGAAATATTTGACTTGGGGGGGGGGAGGGGAATTTATATAGTTATATAGAAAATAATTTTCAAAGGTATATCAAATGATTTTTTTTATCTTTAGCCAAAAAGTTGAGAGTATTTTACTCCCCTAATAGTCCGACAAATTATATGTTACTCGAATTACTCGAACTTGTTATACCATGAATGTGCATGTGACCAATAGCTATTACAATGCACAAAGAGATCAGCACTTTATTTTTAATGCTTTGTGATAAAACTTTTTTAAATATGGACATTTTTAATAGTTTCAATCTCATTTTGTTAAGCTCTAATGATGACCTACTTTTACAAGACACTCTGTTTTTCTTCAGCAGACAACTTCCACCAAGAGAACAAATGTCCAAATGTTTCCAAGCTTTTTGTTGACACAGATTTCTGTAGATTTCAAGTGCTGTCAGCACTTTGTCCTCTACCTCAGATCTCTTCACAAACATCACTGGGGACTCCACAGATAATTTTGTTGTCTGGTTCACATAGAATCCTCCCTCCTGGACACCGTCCACTCTTCTGTGTGGAATTAAAGTCTCTATCTGCTGTGCTGGATCCATCATGGATATTGATGAAGGGAAGTCCAGCAAGGAGCGTTTAAACTTGATTCGAGCAGTATCCTGAGCTTTCCACATTCTTAGATAGTGACCTGCTCTTTTGACCTTGACACAGTGTTCAAGGTCAGCTAACTGTTGAAGCCTTTCCAAGACGTCTTTCTGATACACTTCTGAGGATACAGATTGAGTTATGTCCTGAACAGTGGAGTTCAGAACGACATCTGCTATCTCTGCAGAACACCTCTGGATTCTTTGTCTCTTTAATTCTGCATGTACTTCCCTACAATTATGACAATATCATTATAAAAGAAATGAAATTTTTGTTGAAGTTCATAATGATATAACTAGCAAAATGGCAAAATAGTCGATTTATCTCAGAAATACAGTGTTCTTTAAAGTAAGGATATAAGCAAGCATTTGGAAATTTCTTGTTGACATTTTTACTGCATGTTTACATGTCAATGAAGAATTTAAATTTCTCAAAAAGATAAAAACAAATTTTCCTGTCAATGTATCATACCTAATTTCTACAGTAGACAAATTCAATGTCTCCTGGTCAGGTACACGGCTGACCGAGTTATCATGGCCTCTTTCTCAGCTTTCTGTTGTTTCTGTCTCAATAACTCGGCTTCTGTCTCAGCTTGTTTGGCTAATGTCCTTAAAGGGGAAAATATTTCAGTTTAGAGGAAATACTATAATTAGTATAATCATAATAGGCAAAACATCAAGATACTAGGAAGATAGGAAACATCAAGTAAGGGCTTCGGCATCAAAAGATAAATGAGCTTGCGATCAAAACAATGAAGGATTTGATCATTGAAAAGGAAAAAGTTATTGCTAGTTGAAGACAAGATTTATTTCTCAGTGACCATATTGTGTCATGTGACCTGTTTTAATTTTAAACATGAATCAGCCAAAATTTTCAAACAAACATCCCCTGAAATAGTCTAAAAGAGATATCCTTTGTCTTGTCTAATTTTCATTTGTTATATGAAATATATTTTATTTATTAATTGCAACTTTTTTAATTCTGATTTTCACCTATTTCTTGTATTTTTGAAATTATTGGTTTCCTCTTAATAAGTTAATTTTTCTGATGTATTGTTTTAAAATCTACTTTTTGGGGGTTAGATTGATTAATATGAGACAAGAGAGATAACTCTTAATAACACCAGACCAAGAGGTGTAACCTATATATATGTTTATCTGAGGAATACCTGGTGATAACAAAGTCCGCCATTTTTTGTATTTCTTTTTGCAGAGAAATAGACTGAATTATCTCTAACAAGGTACTGTTTTCTTTGTCATCAATGAGATATAAATAACCATGCATTTATTTTACATCTGCATATGATTGACTTACTTCTGCTTTGAGGTATCTTAAATCAAGGATTGAGAAGTAGTTTTTTTCATAATAATTCAAATGATGTCACTCTTTAAACAAGAATCATAAGAGTATACATTCAGTAAAAATAGTATAATATGAAATATGATATTTTGTAGTTTTAGATCTAAAGCTATCATGGATCCCCGCCTCAGTGTCCAGGATGTCATCAGATGTGACCTATGTGAGACAGCTATAGTACAGATGTACTGTGATTTCTGTCATGTCAATCTTTGTAAACCCTGTATTGGGGAACACATATCTGATGATTATGAAAAACATAAAATTGTCCCATTTCAACAAAGAAAATCCACGTTGATCTATCCAAAGTGTGCAACACATCAAGCCAAAACTTGTGACATATATTGCAAGGAATGTGACATACCTCTTTGTTCTATATGTGCAATATCTGACAGTCATAAAAAACACAAATGGTCGACCCTTTTTGAAACTTACAATTTAAAGCGAGAAACCATTGAAAAAGATTTGGAGGAATTAGAAAACAGAATTTCTCCAACATATAAAGAAATTGTCACTGACACAGAAACCCAGATTGCAAACTTAGACAGAGAATATGGGGAACTTACAACAGCACTGAAACAACATGGAGAAGAATGGCACAGAGAGATTGACATCATTGTCAACAAACTGACAGCAGAAATTACAGAGATGAAAAACAAACACCTGGACATTCTGAAGAAACATCTGGATGAAATCAAAAAGATACAGTCAGTAATTGAACACACATTGCTCCACCTGAAAAATGTTGTAGAATCAAATGAAATATCTACAGCCATGGAATTCAGCTCTAAAGACAAAGATTTCAGCAAACTTCCTCCTAGAGTTCTGGTATCCCTGCCAACATTTACACCAAAGGTGATAGATAGAGAACAGCTTTACATGTTGATTGGGTCTCTGACACCATTATCTACCACAACAGAAGAAAATGGCTACACACTGAAGAAACCAAAGACAGCAACCAGAGAACTGCTGGAAGAATCAGAGCTTATCACTACTATAAACACTGGGTATAAATACCTCTGTTGTGTTATCTGTCTCAGTGAAGAAGAAATCTGGACAAGTGCACACCCAGACAGTGAAATCAAATGCTTTTGCATTCAAGGCTCACATATCAAGAAAATCAAAACAGCAACTGGAGAAAGGCCAAATGATATAGCAGTGACAAAGGATGGGGATCTAGTGTATGCTGACTGGAAAACAAGATCTGTGAATAAAGTGAAGAATGGACAGACAGAGGAGGTGATCAGACTACAGGGCTGGGTACCATGCAATCTCTGTGTCACCTCCTCTGGTGATCTCCTGGTTACCATGCACAGTGATGATGAAACACAATCCAAACTTGTCCGTTTCTCGGGCTCCGCAGAGAAACAAACAATCAAGTTTGATGATGAGGGTAAACCTCTGTATTCAGGAAATAACACAATCAAGTACATCAATGAGAACAGAAACTTGGATATCTGTGTGGCTGACTGTGGAGCTGGTGCTCTAGTAGTGGTTAACCAGACAGGCAAACTCCGATTTAGATACACTGGTCATCTTTCTGCTACAAAGAACAAACCATTTGAACCTCGTGGCATCACAACAGACAGTCAGGGTCAGATCCTGACAGCAGACAGTAATAACCACTGTATCCACATCCTAGACCAGAATGGACAGTTCCTCCGTTTCATAGATAACTGTGACCTGAAGAATCCATGGGGAGTATGTGTGGACAAAAATGACAACTTGTTTGTGGCTGAATTCAAAGGAAATGTAAAAAAGATCAAATATTTACTGTAATGTTACTTATACCTCTTGAAAATTATGATAGCCATGGTAAATTCTTTTTTTAATGTTTGTTTATCTGTCTGTCCATAAATTATCCTTGACCATAAAAACGATGTAAGATGAAATCTTTATATTCCACTCATGGTGCCAATTTAGAATAAAAAGTTGAGATGAACCTTGTAACTGCAAGGCGCATTGTGGTTCACCAACTCTCATATTTGTCTCCGCTTTAAGTAATTTTGAGAGAACTCAAAAGAAAATCAACTTACGATACAAATTCAGTGACGTCGCCCGCGTGGCGCAGTGGTTAGAGCGTCTGCTCTAGAGTCGCGAAGTAAGGAGTTGATCCTTACGTCGCGGGTTCGAATTCCACTGTGGGAAGTGGAGACCTGTCCTTCGGATGAGACCGTATAAACCGAGGTCCCGTGTCTCAGTAGGTGCTGGCACGAAAAAGATCCCTCACTGCTCAATGGCCGTAAGTGCCGAGTATAGGACAAAATTTGCAGCTCTCCACCGGCAAGTGGTGGCGTCTCCATATGAGTGAAAAAATTCTCAAGAGGGACGTTAAACAACATACAAACAAAAACAAATTCAGTGACAACCTCTCTAGTGATAGAATCGTACAAAGATTGTGAGATTTTCATTAGTTTATCTAATTCACGCTTTGCTTCCTGTTCAATCTCCAGACATATGTTGGCAATGACCTCCTAGAATAGAAACTTAGCGGTCTCTTTCACTTCTTGAAAAATTATCAAAATGAAACTGAATTCTAAATGTAATAAACTTCAAGCGCATTGCAAAACTGTGGTTGCCTCATGAGACTTCTTCAGTAGAAAGTACTAAATATCTGATAAGTAAACATGCAATACAATACCATATGACATTTACCTCATTTGTGTAAGTGACCTTGATTTTCGGTACAACAGTAGGTTGTGGAGCAGCCATCTTATCTGTAGACACAGATATTTGATCAGGAACATTGTAGCTTCTGATTGCATCCTTTCTTGGAGAATCCACAAAATCTGAAATTAAATATTTTGATCTTGGTGATACTGTGAAATCACATATTTTCATGGGGTCAAATTTTCAAGGTTTGAAGAAAAGATATTGTCTCAGGGGTATTTGATTTCATCGTTGGGGAAGTGCTGAGTAGATATTTATATGAAATGGACATGAATCTGTGGGTCTCTTCATACCTCAAGAACAATGAAAATTAAACCCAGATGAAAATTTGTGATTTCACAGTACTATAATTGTACATAACATTTTCATACATTTAACTTTAACCATTCAGCTCTTTTGAAAATTAAAATGTTAGTTAATCATTTGTTGTCTTTGTTTCTGTTGATCAAACACACACCTGAATCTTTGACAATTATCTGCCCAATTATCTGCCCAATAAATTTTCCATTATGTCAAAACTATTCTCTGGTTCTTGTAATGAGAAAGCTGGTAATGATCCTCCATAGATTGCCTAGATACAACAGAAATGGAATGTACTAGGGCTTGTACAAGTATTCAGGAAAGAAAAAATACTACTGTGGTTTCATCATTATTCGTGGAACACCAATTTTCGTGGATTTCGTTTTTGAGTCGATCCACGAAATCAAATGTTCATCGAAGTTTGGTGCCTCCATTTTGATTTATGATAAACCTTTAAAAAGCCTATTACGACTTTCGTTAATATATATGAATACCCCCCTTTCCCCAGCAGGTTGGCCTTATAAATGTATTTTATCATTTTAAGGAATATTTTTTTTTAAAAATACTGTTTGATAATTATCTGGCAATTTTTAGCAAAATATATTTAAATATTCTGCACGGGGATAAACAGACAAAATGTACGTAGAACCGCGGTTCATATACTAATCAGAGGTAAACACAAAGGATGATAAATAATCAGGTTTAATGTGTAAATTTGTTATTCTCAAACAATCTAATGGTCCAACACCAATTATCACCTACACAATGTGAACACAAATTACCGTAAAATAAAAATTTCGGTAGAAATAATTAATTACTCTCTGTTCATAATTGGCTTAAAAATACAAATTATAAACACAATTTTATTCTAATTTGAACATGAGAAAGCGGGTACATGTATGTATGTTCGGAAGTCCTGCCGTTTCGAAGCCCTTCAAGGTTTGTTTGTCGTCCACTTTGCATGTTTAAGCGTTGCGTCGTATCCGGCGAGCGTGGATGTGTTTGTTCAGAGATCTGCAAACAAGAGGGTCTGGATGTCACTGTTGAGTCCAAAAACAACACGCTGTGCATGTGAAAAAAGTCCCTAACACCATTTTGTAAATTTAAGTACTTAATTATTTTTGTTACTTTTTAATACTCTGGTGCCAACTTAATTATCGTCCGTATGTGCGCCTAAAAGAAAAAATCCAAATTGTCTTAATATTTTAAGATACTTGCACACCTTTTAACGGAAACGTTGATTAAATTAAAGTCTATTCTAATTAATTGTTTTTAATAATCTGTTTCAATATCCGATATTTAATTTGCCAGTTGAGATCATAGTCTTACAATGGAGACGGTGTTTGGAATTCCTCACCCTTTATTGTTATACTATGTACACTGCGTTGTAAACGCTTGAAGGTTCCGAATTTAAAAATACAGATGAGTAAAATATAAAGAATAAATTAAAGAGTTGTCACCTGTAAGTAATTGTTTTAAAATATTAACATACTCTTAACATTGTAAATGGCGTGAAGATTCCCGCTGAAGCATATAGAGAGTGAAAAAAAATTAAAAGGTAATTTTTTTGGTATGATCATTTTCCACGAATTTACGTATCCTCGAAACAGTGATTTTTACTAAATCCACGAAAATTGATGCCCACGAATATTAATGAAACCACAGTATTCTTGATAATATTTTAACAGCATGGCCATGTTATTCATACTGTAATGAAACATCCTCATATTGAGTTGATTTAGTTTTAGTTTTGCTGTTGACACAGGGGTCAAAAGGGGGGTGGGGAGAGGGATGAAGAAATCTAAAAAAAACAAAACAAAAAAAAAACACCATAGTAATGTGGCTCAAGCAAGTGTTGTGGTCAATGAGGCAAGAGAAAAAATGTGATATAATTAAAGCTGTATCCTTGACAGGCCATCAGCTCATGAAGTTGGTGCTTATACCCAGTTTTTCTGTGGTGCTAAGTCAACAAGAGTCATTGACTTCCCCTACATGGGACACCAATCAATCAAAGTTTAACTCTAAGCATAAGCTGGTACCCATTTAAGCTAGCTAGGTGGACTGACTGGGACAATGCAGATAAAATTTCTTAACCAAGGACACAACATACAATATCAAGTACCAACTAGTGGGTATTGTTTTTTTAACAAAAAAAAAAACACATGTCTCCCCTTCTTTACCAACATTAACGAGTGCAAATATATGATCAGGGTCTAAAATAATAATGCAGTGCATCTCAACTCAAATTCTGTGTACAAAATTTCAAGTCTTCATGTCAAACGATCTCAAGTAATGGTCTGGTCATGTTTTTCTTAATTTGACCCTGAAGAAAGTGGTCAAGGTCAAATATTTTGATGCAGTGCATTTAGTCTCAATGTTGTCTTTCCTAGTTCCAAGTTTGAAATCCTAATGTCAAAAAGTTCTCAAGTTATGACCTAGACTATATTTTCCTGTAAAGATTGACCTTGACTTTATTAATAGGTCAAGGTGAAAAAATGTTGCCATTCACCCTTCCTCTATACCACCTCTCCATGTTCCAAGTTTGAAGTCTTAATGTCAGGGTTCTCAAGTTATGGTCTAGTCATGTTTTTTTCTATTTGACCTTGAAGAAAGGGGTCAAGGTCAAAATTTTGAAGCGTTGCATCTTGTAACAATGTCTTCTTTCTATGTTACAAGTTTGAAGTCCTAATATCAAAGGGTACTCAAGCTAAGGCCTGGACTCTATTTTGATGTAAAAGATTGACCTTGACATTATAATAATTGGATCAAGGTAAAAAATGTTGGTGGCATGCATCCTTCCTTCATACCACTTCTGCATGTTCCATGTCTGAAGTCTTTATGACAAAGGATTCTTAAGTAATGGTCTAATCAAATTTTTTCCCTATTTTGACCTTGAGGAAGAAAAGAGGTCAAGGTCAAAAATTTTGGTGTGTTGCATCTTGTATCAATGTCTTCTTTCTATGTTACAAGTTTGAAGTCCTAATATCAAAGGGTACTCAAGCTATGGCTTGGACTCTATTTTGATGTAAAAGATTGACCTTGACCTTATAATAATTGAATCAAGGTCAAAAATTTTGGTGGCATGCATCCCTCCTTTATACCACCTCTGCATGTTCCAAGTTTGAAGCCTTATTGTCAAAAGGTTTTCAAGTTATGGTCAGATTGTGTTTTTTCCCTATTTGACCTTGAAGGCAGAAAGGGGTCAAGGTCAAAATTCTAATGCAGTGCATTTTGTCTAAGGGTCTTCTTTCTATGTTACAAGTTTGAAGTCCTAATATCAAAGGGATCTCAAGTTATGGGCTAAACTCTATTTTGATGTAAAAGATTGACCTTGACCTTATAAATAGGTCAAGGTCAAAAATGTTGGTGGCGTCCACTCCTTCTCAATGTCATCTATCTATGTTCCATGTTTGAAGTCTTAATGTCAAAGGGTATTAAAGTTACGGTCTGGACAAAATTTGGATGATGAAGAAGAAGAAGAAGAAGAAGAAGAAAATCGATAAAAACAATATGTCTCCCCTGGAAAGGGAGATATAACTACAGGATTTGAGACTGTAACCCATCGTTTACTGGCCAGATGTGTAGCAGCCCATGTGCTCTAATTACAGCAAGACAAATATATGTATATGAAATGCATTGTTTCAAAGTCATAAATTAACACAGAACAGATTTTAGGAATTGAAAGTGAAACATCTCACCCCATAGATGTACTGCGTTTCCTTTCTATGATGGATGATCGCCGTGGGCAACAGTTTTCCTCTGGTTCAATAAATGCTGCCTTGCCCAGTGTCACACAGTTGTACAATGTGGTCAGTCCATTACATTACATTGTGTCAATAGTGTGCATACAAAAGGGCTAGCCTACATGAGAAATCAGTTTAAAAGCATTAAATTTTACCTATACTCCCTTGTGATGTGTTTTCACCAGGATATGTAATGCTTTTTTCCTAAATTGAGTAAAATATGTGCAAAAAATATTTATTGTTTCTTTTGCAAAGATAAGATTTAATGGAAAATGTCTAAATTATCGTGATTAACCAAACATCTTCATTTAATTCAGCTGAGCATACATTATGTTATGAATACTGGTACATGTATAACATTGTATATTATGTGATATAAATAGACAGAATTTATTGTCAGACAACTTCGGGCCCATGAGAGCTATTAAAACAGTTGCAGGGGATGTTTTGCTGCAAAATTAGTGAAAGAATATGTTAGGAACACATGGATAGTAACATTTTGAGAATGACAGATTAAAAATGCAGACATATACACTTGTTACTCTTAACCATGAACACTTTTTTGATGTATAATAAATAAACAGTTTGAATCGTATCTCTTCGGTCATCCATCCAATTATTTGAACCAGTGTCGTTACAGATCTGCAGTGAAACTAAAAAAGTAAACTTACCTGTATAGATACAGAACAGAGAGAAGACCCCTCCCTAACGAGATAGAAGAACCTCACTTAGTTATTACTGTTGAGGGTTGCATAAACTTTGAGGGCATACATGTAGTTAATAAACGTTGAATTCCGAACTTCTGGTCTTAACTGCTGGGTTTCTCTGAAAGTGTGAAATATACATGTAAAATGCATGTCAATATAATGTACAAAATCGAAGAGATACACATGTACAAGTATATTAAAACTTTTTTATAGGTACATGTAGATAAACTTTGGAATAAAGCACATGTTACTATAATTTAAAATTCACACATTTAGAATCAGAATCAAAAGAGTGGGAGAATTTTTAGCTCACCTGAGCTGGAAGCTCAATTGAGCTTTTCTGATCACCCTTTGTCCGTCGTCCGTCCTCTGTCCGTCTGTAAACTTTTCACATTTTCATTTTCTTCTCAAGAACCACTGGGCCAATTTTAACCAAAATTGGTACAAAGCATCCTTGGGATCTTCTCAAGAACCACTGGACCAGAAAAACTGAAGCTTATCTGGAAGCATTATGGGGTAGTGTAGATTCTAAATTGTTCAAATCATAACCCCCGGGGGAAGGGAGGGGGGGCACAATAGAAAATCCAAGTTTTAAATTGAAATATGTAGAAAATATCTTTAAAAATCTTTTTCTCAAGAATCACTGGGCCAGAAAAGCTGAAAATTATGTGGAAGCATCCTGGAGTAGTGTAGATTCTAAATTGTTCAAATCATAATCACCGGGGGTAGGGCGGGGCCACAATAGGGAATCCAATTTTTTTTACATTGAGATATAAAGGAAAAATCTTTAAAAATCTTCTCCTTAAGAACCACTGGGCTAGAAAAGCTGAAACTTACAATGTATGTGGAAACATCCTGGGGTATTGTAGATTCTAAATTGTTCAAATCATGTCCCCTGGGGGTAGGATGAGGCCACATTAGGGAATCAAAGTTTTACATAGAAAAATATAGGCAAAATCTTTAAAAATCTTCTTCTCAAGAACCATTTGGCCAGAAAAGCTGAAACTTAAGTGGAAGCATCCTGGTGTTGTGTAGATTCTAAATTATTCAATTAATGACTCCTGGGGTAGGACGGGGCCACAACAGGTATTATAAGGGGAAAATCAGGTGAATAACAGTAGGGCCAAAGTTACTCAGGTGAGCACTGTGACCCATGGGCCTCTTGTTTCTTAAGAGATAAATAACAGCTAAGTATTAAGCATCAATAGTAGTTACATAACACATTCACAGTAATCATGGTAATTTTGCCCTGTGAGATATCCAGTGATACTGACCTGAGAATATCGCCCTCATTGAGGTTCATCAGCACCATATAACACCTCATCTCTGCCTCGTTAGCACAGAACACTTGTTTCTTCTCCAGATCTGAGTAATTTTCCTTTAGAGTCTGCAGACATTTTGTAATGTTCTCATTGTTAATCGTGTCATCAAAGGAATGTCCACACAGAAGATGTGGAAATGGACACACTTCTTCAAGAGTTCCACACTCTCCACGTTACAGAACTGCTGCTGAGTGATCTCCTACAATTTGTATTTACGTGAAATGATGTGAACTTTACTTCATACTATTCAAATGGAGAATGAAGTGTTTCTCTTTCACTTCAATTTTTCCTAGTACATCTTTGATCTCCATTGTGAAAAACCTCATGACCATTATAGACCAATAAGACTTAATGACCTCAATACACATGTATCTTCTACAGCCTTACCTTCAGCTATTAGACATTTTGGGTACCTTACGAATTCCAGAGGAAATCAAACCAATCCCCCCACTTGCCATCCTCACCTCGGTCAGCTATCTCACTCAGTAAGTAGGTCATTGTCAAGGTCAGGGTTGGAAGGGTCCTCAATTCATATGGCAACGGTTCCTCCTGTTTAACAAATATTTTGAATATTTTAAATTTGTAAATCGACGTAAAAATAGATAAGGTACAATACCCCCCCCCCCTCCAATGTTTTTAATTATAAACAAGCTAATTGTAGTGTGCAGTGCAGAGGTACTGCTATTTACATGTATGTATCTAAAATTATCTGATTCAGAAGAAATGCTAAAACAAACATGCTTATTGCCAAGGAATATCTTTACATGAATGAATATGAAAATAACATTCAGCTTAAGAAAAGCTTAGCCATACTTCATATATACATCTACATGTGACGTCTTTAAAGTTCTCTTTCCAGTATTTATGAATTAAAAGAAACTGACCTGATCAATTGAGAATCTACTGTACTCCTTCACAGCCAAAGTGTAATTCAACTGAGGATTGCCAGACTGTCAATAAAGAAAGATAATTTATACATACATTTTTCATGTATGATTCATTTTGGATTATATTTAACAGAAGCATAATGATAGGCATGGTTACATCAAAACAAAAATGATTCTAACTAAGTAAATTTACAGGGCAATAAGTAAATAAACATAAATTGTTTATGCTAATATTAATGTGTAAATAAAGCTTATTCAATTCTTTATTGTTGGTTTGTGCATTTTCCCACTTAAAATTATAAACATCACAAAAAGATTTAACCTCGTAACTCTCACATCTCAAAAAACAAATTCATTACAGCCATTTATCATTGTGATAAGAATACACACATCTCTATCCTAAAGGACAATCAGGGATGGATGTCAAGTTGGTCGTGTCACTATTATATGTAAACTTGGAGGTATTGAGAGTAAGATATAAACAATTTTACATGCATGTAGCAGAACTTGGAGAATACTTTGAGAATTCAAGAGTAAATCTGTTTTATTCTAAACTGGGACAATGGTTTTACTACTGATTTAAGGAACTTTGAGAGATCAAAGTTTGAGCCATCAAATGTGTAAAACTAAGAGAAAGTTAACCCATGATAACACTCACCCCTTCTGAGCTCTGTAACACCTCGTAAGGATGAAGTCTGGGTTTCTCCTCGCTATCATATCTTTCCTTCACGGGATGTACAAGTGCCCACAAAGGCCGGGCAGTAGCCAAGTCTGACTGCTTCTTAGGTCTTGTAAAAAGATCTCTTTGATTATTTCCTTATTTTCTTTTAAGACGCATACTCAGACTGAAGTCACATTCACTTAGATGGTACACTGTATTGTCACTAAAGAAAAAATGGAATTTGAATCTGGCTTTACTTTGGTTAAAAAAATAAGAGAAAATTAAGCATGTATCCTCACCAACACAATTCACTTTGTCACGTAAATTAAGAATCGTTAGTATTGGTATGTTATTAACACTAGCATTGGTATATTAACACTAGTATTGGTATGTTATTAACATTTGTATTTGTATACTTTGGTAAAACAATAAGATACAAGAAGTCTGTGAGCCAATGCTCACTAATAATAGCCCTGCTCTGATGTGAATATACAAGTTCAGTTATGGACAGACAGTGATAATCAGGAAGTGGAAATTCATTTGGATCTTAACAAAAATGAATTCCAACATATGGCATCCTTAAACAAAGGGTGTGCTAAAATTTCAAGCACCTGTGATGAGTTGTTGCTGAGAAAACTGCGACCAAAATTTGTTATGTATGGTACGGACAGACGGATGGATTAGGAGGAATTTGACATCGGATTCATACAAAAATGAATCCCAACATATGGCATGCCTAAACAAAGAGTGTGCTAAAATTTCAAGAATCTGCAATGAGTAGTTGCTGAGAAAACAGTGACCAAAATTTGTTACAGACAGACACACAGACACACAAGGGTAAAACAGTATACCCCCCTCTCCTTTGGAGCCGAGGTATAAAATTTAAGCATGTATCCTCACCAACACAATTCACCTAGTCACGTAAATTAAGAATAGTTAGCTAGATATGTTGTTAACACTAGTATTGGTATATTAACAATAGCATTGGTATGTTATTAACACTTTTATTGGTATGTTATTAACACTAGTATTGGTATGTTGTTAACATTAGTATTGGTATGTTATTAACACCAGTATTGATATGTTGTTAACACTAGTATTGGTAGGTTATTAACACTAGTCTTGGTATGTTATTAACACTAGTATTGGTATGTTGTTAACACCAGTATTGATATGTTATTATCACTAGTATTGGCATGGTATTTACACTAAGATTGACTAAGATTGATATGTTATTAACACTAGTATTGGTATGTTAACACTAGTATTGGTATATTAACACTAGCATTGGTATGTTATTAACACTAGCTTTGGTTTTATTAACACTCGTATTGGTATGTTATTAACACTAGTATTGGTATGTTATTAACACTTGTATTGGTATGTTATTAACACTTGTATTGATATGTTGTTAACACTAGAAACGGTATGTTTTTAACACCAGTATTGGTATGTTAACACTAGAATTGGTATGTTATAAACACTAGCATTAGTATGTTATTAACAGTAGAATTGGTATGTTATTAACACTAGTATTGGTGTGTAATAATCACTAGCATTGGTTTGTTATTAATACTAGTATTGATATGTTATAATTACTAGCATTGGTATGTTAACAACAGTATTGGTATGTTATTAGCACTACTATTGGTATGTTATTAATACTAGTATTGGTATGTTATTAACACTAGTATTGGTATGTTATTAACACCAGTATTGGTATGTTGTAAATATTTGTACTGGTACATTGTTAACATTAGTAGTGGTATGTTGTCAACTCTATGTAAAATTGTAAGAAAATTCTGCAGAACTGAAAAAAATAAGAATGGAAAACAAATATTCACAGATATCTACAATTTCCTTCTTGCCATGACTCAGGTAAATGGTTAAAATAAATTAAGCTTTTGGATTGAGCTTTTACTAATTACAATAAAAATTGCCGGAAAAATGTTTTGTCACAATTCGAATTGTGATTATCTTCCTTGATAACTTTTAACCATTACTGACAGGGCATTAAATAATTATGAATAATCAATATAAAGCATTATACATTTCTGAATATAACAAATTATAGGAATTTGTGTGGGTAAATATGTGTGAAATGAATATTATTTTAATGATAATTATATTTACTATAATATGTACATGTACACATATATTTACATTTCCAAGGTTTTTGTCTGAGATAAAATTTCAAATAATAAAAATATTTCATTTCTACATAAATCTACTGGTTCATCGATAGGTGTGGTGAAAAAAAAATCACGTGCGGGGCGGGACAAACAGAGACAGAAGCGGGGCTTGTAGCACGTGAATTTGCAGAATCAAGAGCATGTAAATATAAGGAATAACTGTCAGATTTTTTGGTTTCATGACAATGATCAATCGATTGGCTTGCGTGATAATTTTATGCATAAACAACTTCGGCGTTTATGCAAATTCTCACGCAAGCCAATTGATTGATCACATCGTGAAACCAAAAAAATTAGACAGTTATTCCTTAAATAACAAAAATAGAATGGTATACTTTGGAAAGATAATATATGTAACTGTATAGATTATTTCCATTGTGAGGACAATCAGTTCTGAAACTCACTTGTATAAAGGATCTTTCGAAGTGTCAGAATAGAATATGGTGGAATACTTTATGCTTGGAGTGTCATTTTCAGTAAATAAATAATATCCAATAGACAGAGGATGTAAATGTACACAGCATGTTAAATGACTTTATTCAAAGATTCCTTTTCATATTCTTATGATCAATAATTTCCAACACTTCATATTTCTAATATGTACAATTTTTTTTTATCAGAAATTCACATTTACTTTCAATTATCTTCTGTAAAATTTGTAACCACATGACTTACAGTGCTTTAATTCAATGAAAATACCACATGAAAGCTGTAAGTTCTCAAGTCACATGTTTTTTTCAAATTAATTTTTTTTTTCATACATCATTTTGAGATCACTATAACAGCAATAAATTGTTTCAATGCATGTTTCAGCACCTGTTCTTTTGTACAACTCTGATCATGTTGACCTGTCATTTCAATACCCACAATTATTGCACACTCTTTTTTAATCACACTTGTATAATATATTTGTTCATTCATACACCCTCTTGGATCCACCTCTGAAGTTGTAATTCAAAAACATCACTGGCTCTCCTATGACTCTTTAGGTCCTCCTCTAGTTTTTCAAACTGTTCTGAGATCCGGGGCTGATTTAGAGTCTTGTCCAGATTGTATCGTCCATATCGCCAAACACTGACCTCAGAGTCATTTACCGAGTCCGCAAAAGACACACTGACCTCAGGATCATACATCGAGTCCCTCAAAGAATTCTTAGACATGACACTCACTTCCTCTACGGACTCATACATGCTCCAAAGAGGCATGTTTGTAACATCTAGGGAAGCAGTTTGATCCATATCTGTTCCATTCACTAAATTCTCAAGGTATTTGTCAAACTTTTGGGACTTGAGTTTCTCTTCTTCAATAGTTGTGGACAAAAGATCAGATGATTGCTTGGCCTCACAAACAGTCTGAGGTAGGGGGTCCACAGTGTTAGACTTCTCCTTCTGTGTGACACTGGAGGGTCCGGTCTTAAGGTTCCTGAGAATTCTTCTCCGTGCTAACTCCTTAGCGGCTGCTCTGTAAAATGTCTTCTCAAGGGAAACATTTCCTGAAAATAAACACATAAATATGTAACATTTCTAGAATTTATTTTTCATTTTTTTTCATGGAAAAGAGTACACATAATCTGTTAAAAAATATTTATTTACATAATCTCAAAATTATCATATTTCAAGTTTTGCTTGTTAGTTTTTAGTTTGTTTAAATAAGAAAATAAGTTTTCAATTGTAGGAGGTACATATACACTGTTGGTTATAACACAATGCAGTGAGTTTCAATTAATGTATCACCATCATACTTGAAAAACCAACCTTCTCTGTCTCTTTCATTTTCTAGATTTGTTTATAAACCATAAACTGCCCTAACCAACTTTATACCATATAAATTGGGTAGCTATTAATTTCATTCATTATAATCTAATTGTCATTCATTTAGTGCAAGAACCAGGGGTTTTTTTTAGGTCTTAAAATCAAGGGCCTGGGCCTTTCCATTTGGGAAAAAATAGCATCATTTAGTTAAAATTGGGAAAAATATCATAATTCACATTTTTCGAGATAAATTCAAATAGGAGCCATTTTTTGATTTGCAAAGCATTTATTGACTAATTTACATTCAATAAATCTTTACTGAAAATCAGCTTCACTTAATTGTTTGCTGTTCTGAATTTTTATTTAATTTTAAGTTTAATTTTTTTCTATCATATTTAGAATAACATTAATGTCAAGTTTCGAATTGTCTTTTGGGAATTTTCTTCAATGAAATTGGGAAAAACACACACTTTTTACCATTAGGAATGGGGCCTATTACAGGCCCCCTACAACCCCTAAAAAAAACCCTGAGAACAAAGATGATTGCCCTTAAAAAATGACTTCAAACTGTACAATATTTGAATGTAATATGAGGCGGATAGATACGTCTTTGACAAAAGTCATTGTGACGAAGGCAACCCAATTTATACAACATAAAGTATTTTTTTTAATCCAATCAAATACTGCGTTATAACCAGAAATATATTATAAATTAAATATGTACAAATATTGCTGCAATAATGTAGCCCTCTCCAATTTTTTTTTTTTTCTTTTTTTTGGGAGAGGGCTACAACTCCTTAGGATCTCCGTAATGGTGCAAGTGCGGGAGTGATTCACTACCGCACAGATTTCGGCCCAAATTATCAGTAAGTGGGTATTTTATTAACATATCTTACCTGAACTCATAAAATGTAGTTATGCAAGACATGAATTGATCAAAAAATATACAAAATAATCCGTATATCGGTTATTTTTCATGTATGTCAACATCACAACTTGAATTTATCCGCCATGTTTACTGACCTTGATCGATTTTATTTTGGGACAACCAACGAGAATTCGGGATCAAGGGGAGCGGATCTTTTAGGAATTCCCTTATTTTAAGCATAAATATTACTGTTTATGAAAAAAATTCCACATGGAATGCTTTTATTTATCGAAGTTTAGTGATACCTTATAACACAATCATTTATCAACACCGACATTTTCGTTATCAAGTGATTCTAAAATTCAAGTGCAAGTCTCAGTACGTCACGCGAGAACTGTCATGGCTGCGGAAGAGAACGGCTGCAGACCTGTTTACCCAAATTGTTGTCTCTCAGTATTTTTTATTAGATTTGTCAGTGAGATTTGGCATTTGCCTGTAAGATTTCACTTTTCATCGACTGTACATATATTACTAGAAAACAACTACATTTCTGATTATCAAAACATGGTTTAGTAACAAAGCAAAACATCATACCCTGCTTTCTTTTGAGTGATTTCTGTCATTTTTTAAACCACCGCGTTATGGTGACTTTAATGTTTGAAATTTTTATCTTTTTTAGCGAATAAAAAGCGTCAAACTGAGACAGATAACAAAAACTAATTGCTAAAATCCATATGAACGGATGTCCGTATTTTCATTATAGCAAAACGTGAGACGTATTTTGGACTAAAAATCCGTACAAAATACGGCGAAATCGTAAGAGTAAACAGGTCTGCGGCTGGTAAAGACGCAGATTTATTTTACTTGGTTTTCGCGTATAAAGGACTATGATGTTGATAGTAAATAAAAATTCCGTCTTATTGGAAGTAAGTTGTATGTAAAAACAATTTATTTTGCCTGCAGTCGCCCGTATCTAAAAAATATATTTGCACCATTACGGAGATGCAGTGGAATTGTAGCCCTCTCCTGAAAATATCAGATTAAAAAAAATCGGAGAGGGCTACATTATTGCAGCTAGTACAAATAGGTCTTGTGTTGATGAAACACAATGACATCAAAGGCACCTGATGCTTTTTATTTTAAATATAACCCCTATCTAAAATTTTACATGTATTTGTTCTTGAAATTTTTGAAAATAAAACTAAAGTAATTGAAATGTATTTAATTACATTCTTCAAAGTAATTGAGAGTAATTAATTACATTTGTAAACATCAATGTAATTGTAATTGCAAGTAATTGACAAAATTATCAATGTATTTGAAAGTAATTAATCACATTTCAAAGTAATTGAACCCAACCCTGTTTTGTTTGTTAGTTTGTTTAAATAAGAAAATAAGTTTTGAATTCTAGGAGGTACATGTACATACACACTGCTGTTTATAAACAAGGCCAATACAATGAGCTTCATTTATTGTATCAACACTGACCTTCTCTGTCTCTTTCATCTTCTAGATACCGCCACTCAACAGGTGGGTCAAAGTCTAAGAGGGCATCCTTGTTGTACGCCAATAATATCTCCTCAAGTCCACTCTGTAAAACATTTTAAAAGAACTCAGTCACAGCATATCGAAAACAGAACTTTGTAAAAATACCAGATACCTAATTCCTAGCTTAATGACAAAATATTTCTTGAAATACAAGATTTTATAACATCTTAATAATTTGAGTTTGGTACATGTAACTTGAAAATGTAATGAATCAAAATAGACAAATAAAACCTCTGAATTTAGATCGGTAAAGTCAGCTACAGTGATCTTGAATTCAACACAGGCCATAAGAACATCAGTCCAGGGCATGTTGATGTAGGTCGGGTTACACTGACTGACCCCTGTACAAAGGTCACATGTATCCTCAAAGTCCAGACGTGTCTGTCGCAGCAGTACTCTAACTCTGGGGAAAAAATGTTACTTTGAGGTGAATGATGATGATGATGGTTTCAGCAAGTATTCAATTACAGTGTTACTTTTCATCCTCATTTTGCAGGTACATGTATGTAAATGTCCTTATAATGTGCCTGAATTGGTGGAGACTTGCAAATTAATTTTATTATACTGATGTCATACATAACAAAAGAGATGCTAGCATTGAAAATCAAAGTACTGAAAGTACTGGGAAGCGCTAAGCATATTGCAATTTGAAATTCATCAAAATTATTTTGAATTTAAATTGCCTGTTGTATTGGAATTTAAGCAATATCTTGACAGTGCGGCTGCGTTAGGGCTAGCACAGTTGTTTGATACATAATCAAACATGGGAGTCATGAAAATTTCCAGTTGGGATATGAAATTCAACATTGTCTTATGCCTTTTTATTTTAAGCATTTTACATTTTCTTCTTCTGTCAAAAGATCAATGAATTTCATATACACGAAATTGCAAGAAAATATTTCTCCGCTTCTTTAAAAAAAACAATATATACAAATTAAATGGCAGATATTTACTCCAAACAGCAATGTACAATGTATTTCTGAAACCTATTAAAAAGAAAGAAAAACATGTAAAATATTTTCTTTCTCCATCTCCTTATAAGAGTCTCAAAGGAAAATCGCAATTTATTGGAGGGATGGTCGACGAGTTTTCCGACCAAATTTAGACTATAAATGTAACTATACATTTGCTGGAAAATTTATATGTTTCTAAATGATTTTGAATACTTGAAAATGCCGCTGAAATTCCTCTCATTTATGTGCAACACCGACAGCTAAAATATTTTGGTGATAATTTTTGATAATAAATTCATTCCGTGCTTGTTTACGAGTGTTTCAAATTGATTAATTGATTGATTGTATGTTTTACGTCCCATTCGAGAATTTTTCACTCATATAGAGATGTCACCATATACCGGTGAAGGGCTTTTTTGACCTTTACTCGGCACTCAGGGCCATTGAGCAGTGAGGGATCTTTATCGTGATAACGCCTGCCGTGACACGGGGTCTCGGTTTTTAAGGTCTCATCCGAAGGACCTGCAACTTTCACTTCAAAGTGCCGAGCGCATGGCGAAGGAACAGCTGCTACCCATTTTTTTTTATCGACTTAGGTCAGTCGAGGCCGAGATTCGAACTCACGACTTCTCGATCACGAAGCGAGCGCTCTATACCGACTGAGCTACCGTGAATGGTACTGTTTCAAATTGAAGATTGGCTGTTAGTGACTGTGCTTTAATTCTAAAAACTGCACTCGGAAAATAAAGATGTTATTTGTTTATTGCGTCGATAAATATTTCCTTATTGAAAACATAATTATTTATTAAAGTTATAGATAAAACATCTCAAAAATATTGAATACTAGAATTCTCACTAAATTGTTTTTAGTATATCTCTTTTTTTCATATTCATAAGCAATTTATTAATTTACGTTTCGTAGAAAGGATTTTACAAGAAATACATTAATGGAGTGTGTAAGATATTTACACAATCGCTACGAGCGTCCAGTATTTATTAATGATAAATGAAACTTAGACTATATATTACATACGGTTTTGAACAGTCTACAGCTGTGTATTATACATTTTTAACACTTCACATTCATCGCGCTGTGCAGCATATCGGCATCATGTTTGTAACAACGCCATGTGACAAAACCCTATGTCAATGAAATGAGCACTCGTAGAGTTAATGTCCTTTTGTCAAAGATTATTGGTAAATATACATTTTGAGTATAAAGATATAATATTTGTCTTCTTTGTTTGATGATAAAACATTCGGTGCTATCCTTTCATCTCTGATTTTCATATACGTAATTTATAATGCATTGCAACAAAAATTTGTCTTTTCTGTTGATCTCACAATATGTATAATTTGTAAATATTACTTTTTTAAAATAAAATTTTCATACTTTTCTTCTTCGGATTAAAAATATGTCATTAAACCTCAAAAGTATTTTGGACTATTGTTAAAATGCTTTAAAATGCTTCTATATTTTTTTTACGGACGTTTAATGCTTTACACAATTCTTTACTTGTTTATGTACGATATTAACAACCACGCAAAACATGTTTAGAGAAAAAAAATATCCACAGCACTGTTGTGTTAGTTGAAAAGGACTACTGAAAATAACTGCCCGTAATTTTTCTGCTATTTCTAAGATAAATAATTCAACAGCCCAAGAAAGAAAATACAGTGTATTAATCTCAAGTTTATATATTAAATAAATCTTCATGAATGTATACAACATTTTTTACTCTGTTTTTATGTGGTCCTCATAAAGTTGCTAAGCAGTCAAATCGGCAACACGCACACATCTTTACATAAACTATTTCTTACTAGTTTCCTAATACAAATAAATTACACTGTTTGCTGAACAATTCATCGGCGCTATTCCTATCCATTGCTAATAACGTTTAATTAAGGTTTTTGCATTTTTCGCCATATCTTGCCCACTGCACACACAATTTTAAAGCACAATATTCCGAGAAATTAGTTTTCCTATTTGAGTGGATTCGTTGAAAACATAGCCACCACGTGCCCTATATGTACGTACAGCCGCAAACTGCCTTACCTTGCGAATTATTTACATCATATTTTTATCCATATTTTAAGTATAGAGTACCACAAAAGTATAGACAGTCCATGAATGCATTCCAGTCTGTTACTAATTGATACAGAGATGCGAAAGTCAACTTCATTGATAGCTCTCTGCATGGTGCAAGGGTGATAATAGGAAGACTTGTTTTTAGTTACACTGCCTGAAATAAGGGTCTGTAAGAAGAAATAATAGTTTATATGGATATAAGTTATATAGAACGTACATATGTAAGTACATTGTAAATCAATTTTATGCGAAATTTTCTACTAAATAACTCAATTCCAGTTTGAGTTTTAAATACGTATTAAAATCACATCTGAGTTTTAAAAATATGTACTTATTCAATCACTACATTACATGTACATGACATGTAATAAACTGTTTTTAATTTTAAGTATTTGCGCCATAAATGCAGCAATTGTTAGCTGCATGGTACACAACTGATGAATGTCGACACGATATAATGTATAGAGATAAGCATGACAAGAACCGCCCTTATCTATTAACAGTGGATTTTCCTACAATGTACATGCATATCTTTACCTTACTCATTGACTCCTATTATTAGAACTGCACGTAACTCAGTATTATACTAAAATAGCCGAAAGAGAGTCGGGGATTTCCAGTTGCATATTTTTAGAAAAGCCAGTGGAGTTATCTAACTTGCTTAGTGGCGCTGGATCGCGAACGGAAGTAGATTTAAGATGACAGTAAGCGCTCTGCAAAGGCTTAGCGCTTAAAAAATGAAGAAATAGGACCTATAAGGCCAAAATAAAAAATACCTTTGTTTCCCCTAACGCCACCGATCCAATTGAAACGCGCCGACTGGAAAGTTTTTTTTCATAAGATATTCCAATATTTTTTTTTATGTTTATCAACTTTTATAAAATAGAATTCCATAAAAATCCGTTTTTGTCAGAACAGCTGATTTTATTCTGTGATTGTTAACCGTTTGTTGGAAACAAGATGGGGCCCACAATATGTGGTCACAGAGGGTTAGTTCGTGTTTTAAAAGAAAGGCGACGTATCAACCTTATGCCTTTAGCATATAAGAATCCTACATTCTTGAAACACTTTGTTAATAAAGTATAATATACAATGACCTATTAAGAGTGTTTTGGTTGTATTTACTTACCTGTCTTAAAATTAAGGTACGTATAAAGAGAATGCTTAGACCCGTAGGCCTTCTTCATGATACCCATCATGAGCAGACAAGGGGCCCACCTTGTGAACACACCAATCAATTTTACTGCGTTTTATTTAATTTGAGCTTTGATCTTATGAACAGTTCATCAATATTCCTATATTTACAATATGGGACAAAAGGAGTTGTAATTATGTCTACATACTTCATTCTAATGCATAGAATTCAAATGTCCTTTCTCGATGCCTTTTATTCATGGGTTAAACTTCATGACTTTGACATTGTGTATGATATTTTACCATTTTTAGATATGGTTTGTCTCAATTTAATATTGTTAACAAACTTTTTCCAAATAGATATGATATTATTATACAAGCTCTCTGAGGCGTCCATGTATTTTTCTTTAAGGCCCTTGAAGATTGGTTGTTACTTTGATTTGAATTCCTCTGATAATTATTGGGATAACAACATTTATTTAAACATTTGTCTAGTGAAAGGCTCCAAATTTAGAGTTGTACGCGGCACTTTAGGCCATTGAGCTGTGAGGGATCTTTTTTTGTGCCAGTATCTACTGCGACATTGAACCCATTTTTTTTTTTTTTGGGTTTCATTTGAAGAACAGGTCTCAACGTCCCGCATGGATTTAAACCTGCAACTTAGAGAAATAGCTCCTTACTTCGAGACTCCAAAACGAAATGCTCTAGAACCACTGCATATTTTGAAGCCCTGAAAAACTACATAATTATATATTCTGATGTCCAGTCCTTGCATACCCGAGAATCTTTTAAACAGATGTATTCAATTTCAAAAAATTTACTCTGGTATGAGATATTTCACAAGTTCGATTGAATAGCTGTGAATAAATTTACCTTAAATGTTGAGTCTATACGGCATTTGTATGGTATTCTGGCTGTTTACAAATCGCTTTCTTTTTAAGGTATCATTCCATTCAATTTTAAGAATGTATTTTCAAAGCTGCTGTCAAAAAAAATTATTTGCCTATCTAACTACCCAACTTGAGATTTTTGGGTCGGTTTAGGGGAAACAAAGATATTTTTAATGATGGCCTAACACCTTTCTTCACAAGCCCATTGAAATCTTTAAAATAATTTATCATATCATAAATGTTGAATGTACACAACATTTCTAGGTCATGACCTTTAAATTAATAGACTTACTTAGATGTGAGATCTACACACTGTGATGGTGGAAATCCATCAGTAATTCTCTGAACAAAAGCCCACACATCACGACAGACTGTCGACCAATCATCATCCTCTTCTACACTGTAGGTAAAACTTGGCAGCTGAAGGTCATCCAAAAGGTCAGAGACCAATGTCATGTGTTTGTCTGTATTCCAATACAGGGGAGGTAAGTCTGATAGAAAAAAAAAAAGAATTCTAAAACTCTTGCAGAGTAAAAAGCCCGCAGATTCAGACAGAATCAGACAGGGTTGGGGTCGCAATAGGTAATCAAATTTCAATATAAGAATACATAGGAAAAATCTTTAAAAATCTTGTTCTCAAGAACAGCAAAGCAAAGATAGTCATATTAAATTGGAAGCATCCTCAGTTAGTGTAGATTCAACTTTGTTCAAACCGTGCCCCCTCCATCCTGCACCTGGGGGGGGGGGGGTATAATGGGACCACTTATGTTGTTTAAACTTTTCAGAATGAAACGGATTTCTGCATTTTCCAGCCAAAGCGCTCAGGTGAGCTTGTTGTCTTATATATTGGCTTACAACTATTCTAATACAAAATCATACTCAAAACTGGAGTATTAAAGGAAAAAATACACTAAATAATTTTTCTAGTTCCATTATTCTATCAGCTTGAGAATAATATCAGGTACACTCCATTCTAAATTCAAAGAGAAGAAAGCTAAAGCGACTCTGACTTTAATATTCTGGACACACATAACTTACCATGCATCTTTGAATGAGTGAATTCACTGACTGGCCAGGAATAACTCAACAGTTCTGGTGATGTCAGCACTTGTTGTAAATAGACAATCACAGCATTGTACAGGGTTATTATTGTGTTTGGGTCCTGTAAATGTATTTCAAGAGTTCAAGAACCACAACGGTAGTTATCAATCAACATCATTCCAAAAAGGCAAAAAAAAAAAAAACCCAATGATTTTTTTTTAAACAACATACCCTCTCTTTTCCAAGTAACACTTGAATAAAGGTATGACTTATAAACTATCATAGGTCATGTTATTGAGTATTTTACTTTTTATCAGTACCGTACATTTTTTTTGATTTGATAGACAGGATTGAATCTAAAATGTAATAGATCATGGGCAATAGCTATAACTGAGACATTCAAAAACACACAGCCAGCTATTATCATACAGGCATCTGTGACAAAGAACAAATAATGTATTTGTGTGTTGGAGGGGAGATACATTTAAAACCTTCAACAAGGAATAGCATTCAATATATAAGCTATATTTCATTTCCAGTAGAAAGATCACCTGGTGTAGATATCCACTGAGTTTCCTCTGTTTTAGGTTATACAACACTGGTCTGTAGAACTGATCCTGTATAAAGTCCTCCACCACAGCCCTACAATGCTGGACCCTCAGACCGGGGGGCTCTGGGGAGTGTTCCATCAGCCATCTAACACTCTCTGATAACTATATGTATAAACAAAAGTTTACTGGGCACAATGTATATTAAGACCTTCACTTCAGACTTAGTTATATTTGTGATGAAATTAAATTATTTATAGAGAATAGAAATATTCACATCTATCCGCTTACTTTTTCTGTGACCTCCAGTTCCTCAACATCCACACCTTTAGGAAAATCATCATCATATTTCACAACACAAAGAGAAATGTCACTTATCTTTCCATCTTCAACCAACTCATCAATATTCAGACATCTCCATATAAAGTCCTCATCTACATTTTCATTGGCTGGAACAGGACATAATACAACCAATGGGAGAGCAGGAGAGTTTGGTTTGCTCATCAAGAGATCTTCTAATCTTTTTTTCTCTTCTTCCCAAAGAAGCTAAAGAATATTGAGATATAAAAAAAAAACATATGTCTCATTGTGATGCAGAGGGGATCAATATTATACCTCAATACATAAGATGAATTATTCCATTATCGGTTTTTTCCTAATATTTTCAAGAAGTATATAATAAGCAAGTGTGTGTCTGAAAATTAGTACATGTATTGCAGAAACAAAATGGTGGAACTCACTAAAAACCAAAGGATGTCAAATTTGTAATAAAAAAGAGAGATAATTTTAAATCCTTATTTTGCTTTAATCTGTGATTTAAAAAGTGCAAAAGACAACTAGAATCAGATTTTTTGAAAAAAAAAAGCTGAATTTTAAATTTTCCTTCCTTAAAATCAATAAAAATGGAGAAACCAGCAAATGTAAAAACTTGATATATCATTGTATTTTGCAATATTTTTTTTTTTCTGAAAAATCATGATACATGTATTTTTTCCCCTCATGATACACAGCCTTAATAAGTATTAGCTATATCTTGACCCTTGACTGTTATTTAACAGATGTCCTCTTTAAACCTTATTCATCTATGTAGTTAGCAAAATTTAAGATATTTTCACATTTTTCAGTAAAATAATACATCTTACTCTGGACCATTGACTTACCCACTCCGGATCTTCAACGAGGGGTGGAGGCATAACAAAAAGAAGACAAGAGGTTCCCAGAAGGGAGCCAGGTACATCATGAATGGATATATTACCCTCCAGGAGCCTCACACAAACACCCAGACTGCCTGACATTGATTCATATGTAATTGGTACAGTATATAAACTCAGCAGTTCATTCTGTCATTGAAACAAATAACACTGATATAAATAACAAATAACACTGATATAAATAACAAATAACACCAATATCAATAACAAATAGCACTGACATAAATAACAAATAACACCAATATAAAAATAATACTCATCTATAACTCTTAAGTCTCTTTCAGTGAAATATTTGATTTTCTTGTTAGACTGTTCTCATTCAAACAATAAATAATATCTTTCAAATATCTGTTGATTATACAAGTACAAGGGGTTAGATTTACCTGTACTGAAGAGTGGTGGTGAGGTTTGGATGTCCCTCTTGAGAATTTGGCCTTCAGCCATTTTGCGAGATGACTGAGACTTTGACCTTGGTGGTCTGTCTGTATGTAGTCTGGGTCTGGTAAAGAAATCACCAGTTTCCAAAACACTTGGCTGCACTTGGTGTTTTCTACAAAATAAAGTAACTTATATCATAACAGTTTTTAAATGAGTGACCTGACATATATTTTTTTCCTTGACTGCTCAGTAAAACATGGGAAATATTAGACTTTTTGGGGAATAAATTTATATAGAAAATAATTTTCAAAGGTTAACCTGCATGTGACCAATAGCTATTACACTGCACAAAGAGATCAGCACTTTATTTTTATAATGCTGTGAAATAAAACTTGTTCAACTCCAATAGCTATTACACTGCACAAAGAGATAAGCACTTTATTTTTTAATGCTGAGAAATAAACGTTGTTCAACCATATGTCAACTATGGACATTTTTAACAGTTTCAATCTCATTTCGTTTAACTCTAATGATGACCTACTTTTACAAGAAACTCTATTTTTCACCAGCAAATGACGTCCACCAAGAGAACAAATGTCCAAAGGTTTCCAAGCTTTCTGTCGACACAGATTTCTGTAGATTTCATGTGCTGTCAGCACTTTGTCCTCCACCTGTGATCTCTTCACAAACATCACTGGGGACTCCACAGATAATTTTGTTGTCTGGTTCACATAGAATCCTCCCTCTTGGATATCCTCCACCCTTCTGTCTGGAATTAACGTCTCTATCTGCTGTGCTGGGTCCATCATGGAGATTGATGAAGGAAAGTCGAGCAAGGAGCGTTTAAACTTGATTTGAGCAGTATGTTGAGCTTTCCATATTCTTAGATAGCGACCTGCTCTTTTGACCTTGACACAGTGTTCAAGGTCAGCTAACTTTTGAAGCCTTTCCACGACATCTTTCTGATAAACTTCTAAGGATACAGATTGAGTAATGTCCTGGACAGTGGAGTTCAGAATGACATCTGCTATCTCTGCAGAACACCTCTGGATTCTTTGTCTCTTTAATTCTGCATGTACTTCCCTACAACCATGACAATGTAATTACAAAGGAAATGAAGTTATTGTTTAAGTTAATAATGATATAACTAGAAAAATAAAAAAATGACCTCTTCAGAAATACAGTTTTGATATAAGCAAATATATGAATATTTCTTATTGAAATTTTTACTGCATGTTTACAAGTTAGTGAAAAATTTAAATATCACAAAAAGATTAAAACAAAATTTCCTGTCAATGTGTCATACCTAATTTCTGCAGTAGACAAATTCAATGTCTCCTGATCAAGGACTTCTTTCAGAATCTCACTGGTCAGGTACACAGCTGACCGAGTTATCATGGCCTCTTTCTCAGCTTTCTGTTGTTTCTGTCTCAATAACTCGGCTTCTGTCTCAGCTTGTTTGGCCAATGTCCTTCAAGTGGAAATATTTCAGTTTATAGGAAATTTTATTATTGGTATAATAATCATAGGCAAAACATCAAGATAGGAAGAAAGGAAACACCAGTAAAGGCTTCAGCATCAAACTATGATAAATGAGCTTGCACTCAACACAATGAAGGATATGACCATTTAAAAGGAAAAAAGTTATTGCCAGTTAAAGAAAAGGTTTATTTCTCAATGACCATATTGTGTCATGTGACCTGTTTTAAACATGATCGAGTCATCAATTTTTTTCAAACAAACATCCCCTGAAATATTCTTAAAGGTGCTTAGACACAGATTTGAACTTAATATTAACTTCAAATCTGTGTCCAAGCACCTTTAAGGACACAACTTTTGTCTTGTCCAATTTTCATTAACTATATGAAATATATTTTTATCTAATTGCAGGTTTTCTTAATTCTAATTTTCACCTATTGATGCATTTTTGAAAATATTGGTTTCCTCTTAATTAGTTAATTTTTCTGATCCATTATTTTCACATCTACTATTTTGGTTAGTTTGATTACAATGACAAGAGAGATAACTCTAAATGACACCAGACCAGGAAGTGTAACCTTTATGTTTACCCGAGGACTATCAGGTGATAGCAGCCACCATTAGTGACAGGGAAATAAAACACTGAATTATCTGTAACAAGGTACTGTTTTCTTTGTCATCAATGATCCATATACATAACCATACATTTATTTTACATCTGAATATGATTGACTCACTTCTTTCTTGAGGTCTCTTAAATCAAGGTTTGAGAAGGAGTGTTTTCATAAGAATTCAAATGATGTCACTCTTAAGACAAGAATAAGTACAATGTAATCTAAAAATTATCTTAAATATTCTAAATGCCAGAAAATTTTATCTTACAATAAGGAAGAAATATACATGTATTCATATTTTCATTTACATAAGTTTTAAAATACCATATGAGCATAAATTCAGTAAAAATAGTGTAATATGAAATATGATACTTTATAGTTTTAGATCTAAAGCTATCATGGACCCCCACCACAGTGCCCAGGATGTGATAAGATGTGACCTCTGTGAGACAGCTATAGTACAGATGTACTGTGATTTTTGTCATGTCAACCTTTGTAAACCCTGTATTGGAGAACACATTGCTGATGAATATGACAAACATAAAATTGTTCCATTCCAACAAAGAAAATCAACCTTGATCTATCCAAAGTGTGCAACACATCCATCAAAAACCTGTGACTTACATTGCAAGGAATGTGAAATCCCTGTTTGTTCTTTATGCACAATATCTGAAAGTCATAAGAGACACACATTGTCAAACCTTTTTCAAACTTACAAGTCAAAGAGAGAAACCATTGAAAAAGATACTGGGATATTGGAAAACATAATTTCTCCAACATATGAAGAAATTGCCACTGACACAGAGACCCAGACAGCAGGCTTAGACAGAGAATATGAGAAACTTACAACAGCAGTGACACAACATGGAGAAGAATGGCACAGAGAAATTGACAACATTGTCAACAAGATGACATCAGAAATAACAGAGATGAAAAACAAACACCTGGACATTCTGAAGACACATCTTGATGAAATCAAAAAGATACAGTCTGAAATTGAACAAACATGGCTCAACCTGAAAAAAGTTGAAGAATCAAATGAAATATCCATAGCCATGGAATTCAGCTCTAACAACAAAGAATTTAGCAAACTTCCTGCTAAAGTTCAAGTATCACTGCCAATGTTTAGCCCAAAGACAATAGATAAAGAACAGCTTTACATGTTATTTGGGTCTTTGACACCATTATCTACCACAACAGGAGAAAAAGGCTACACACTGAAGAAACCAGATATATCAGCCAGAAAACTGCTGGAAGAACCAGAACTCACTACTATAAATTCTGGTTATGAAAACCTCCGCTCTGTTACCTGTTTCAGTGAAGAAGAAATCTGGACATGTGGACTGGACAGTGATATAAAATGCTTCAACATTCAAGGTTCACTTATCAAGACAATCAAAACAAAGTCAAGGAAAGCACCTTCTGATATAGCATTGACAAGTGATGGGGATCTAGTGTACTCTGACCGGCAAAGAAGCACAGTGAACAAAGTGAAGAATGTACAGACAGAGGAGGTGATCAGACTACAGGGTTGGGTACCTCTCAATCTCTGTGTCACCTCCCCTGGTGATCTCCTGGTTACCATGTACAGTGATGATAAAACAAAATCCAAAGTTGTCCATTACTCGAGCTCCACAGAAAAACAAACAATCCAGTTTGATAATGAGGGTCAACCTCTGTATTCAGGAAATAGCGTCATTAAGTACATCATTGAGAACAGAAACCTGGATACCTGTGTGGCTGACTGTAAAGTTGGTGCTATAGTAGTGGTTAACCAAGCTGGAAAACTCCTATACAGATACACTGGTCATCCTTCTGCTACAAAGAACAAACCATTTAAACCCCGTGGCATCACAACAGACAGCCAGAGTCAGATCCTGACAGCAGACCTTGACAACCACTGTATCCACATCCTAGACCAGGATGGACAGTTCCTCTGTTATATAGATAACTGTGACCTAGAGAATCCTTTTGGTTTATGTGTGGACAAAAATGACAACTTGTTTGTCACTGAACCCAAAGGAAATGTAAAAAAGATCAAATATTTATTGTAATGTTACACCTCTTGAAAATAATGACAGCTGTCACAGGGAATTTTTTTTTTTTAATGTTTATTGGTCTGTCTGTCCATAAATTATAATTCACCATAAAGAATCCTAAAATGATATAAGATGAATTTTTTACATTCTGCTCTTTTGATTGTCATTGTGGAAGTTTCTAATTTAGAGTAAAAAAGTCAAGAAAAAACTTGCAACTTCTAGGAGCATTATGGTTCACCAACTCTCATATTTGTCTTCATTTTAAGTAATTTTGAGCATTACCAAAAGAAAATTAACTTACGATACAAATTCAGCCACAACTTCTCCTGTGATAGAATCATACAAAGATTGTGAGATTTCCATTAGATTATCTACTTCATGCTTTGTTTCCTGTCCAATCTCCAGACACATGTTGTCAATGACCTCCCAGAATAGAAACTTAGCAGTCTCTTTCACTTCCTGAAATATTTATCAAAATGAAACTGAATTTCATGGCACATCTTAATGTAATAAACTTCAAGCACATTGCAAAATTGTGGTTGCCTCATGACACTTCTTCAGGAGAAAGAACTATACATCTGTGATTAGTAAACATATGCAATACAATACCATATGACATTTACCTCATTTGTGTAGGTGACCTTGATTTTTGGTATAACAGTAGGTTGTGGAGTAGCCATTTTATCTGTAGACACAGATATTTGATCAGGAACATTGTAGCTTCTGACTGCATCCTTTCTTGGAGAATCCACAAAATCTGAAATTAAACATTTTGGTCTAGGTGATACTATAATATTGTCATTTACATTTTCTTAATTTAAATTTAACCACTCAGCTCTTTTGAAAAGATGTTAATTTATCATTTGTTGCCTTTGCTTCTGTTGATCACACACCTGAATCTTTGACAATGATCTGACCAATAAATTTTCCATTGTTATCAAAGCTGTTCTCTGGTTCTGGCAATGAGAAAGTTGGTAATGGTCCTCCATAGATTGCCTAAGATACATGTACAACAAAAAAAAAGAATGTACTAGAGCTTGTAAAAGTGTGCTGGAAAGAAAAAAATATTATTCTTGAGAATATTACTTAAAACATGGCCTTGTTAGTCATACTGGTATTGAATAATTCTCATGTTGAGCGGATTTAAGTTCAGTTATGCTGTGACCACAGTATGGGGTCAGATTGGGGGTGGGGGGAGAATAAAGAAGAAATCTCTTTAAAAAAAAATAAAAATCAGCAAGTTTTACGTGAATCAAGCTAGTCTTGTGGCCAATAGGGCAAGAAAAAGAAATGGGATACCCAAAAAGTTGTATCCTTGCCAAACAATGGGGGCTCATAAATTTGGTGCTTATACGAAGCTTTCTGTGGTCCTACGCCAAAAAGAGTCATGGACTCTTTCCTACATTGGACACCAGTCAATCAAAGTTAGACTTCATGCATAAGTCAATACCCATTTAAGCTAGGTGCACTGAGACAATACCGATAAATTTCTCGCCAAATGACACAACAAACATCAAGTATCCACTACAGTAAAACACGCTTATAGCAAACAAACTTATAATGAATTGACGCTTACAGCGAAGCGATTTTAAATCCCTGTGACTTTTTAAAAATTTATTATTAATTCAACAGATATAGCAAATTACTCTTATAACGAAGCAAAATTGTCATTCCCTGGCACTTCGTTATAAGCGTGTTTTACAGTACAGATATTGAAAATTTAATCTTATGTTTACTGGCTAAACGCTTATCAGCAATGTGCTCCCATTATAGCAAGGAATATATATGACATGAATTGTTTCAAAGTCTTACAAAATTAACACAGAACAGATTCTAGGAATTGAAAGTGACACACCTCACCCACAGACGTACTGCGTTTCCTTTCTATGATAGTTGATCGTCGTGGGCACCAGTTTTCTTCCGGTTCAATAAATGCTGCCTTGTCCAGTGTCACACAGTTGTCTACTGTGGTCAGTCCAAAGAACTGACAGAACTGGGCAGCCTCACTCTGGTCATCAAAACTCAGGGTCCTCACTAAATCCTCTAAAGGTAGCTAAAAATAACAACAAAAAAATCATGTGAACTTCTAAAGTCTATCTTTATTTTAGAAATGATTAGTTCTTAAATGGTGCTTTGTAAATCATTGTCCATTACATTTCATTAATTGTGTCAATAGTGTGCATTCAATAGGGTTACATGGAAAAACAAACTAGTTTACAAGCATTAAGCTTTACCTGTACTCCCTTGCGATGTGCTTTTACCAGAATATGTAATGCCTTTTTCCTAACTTGAGTAAAATATCTGCAAAAAAATTTATATTGTTTTTTTTTCCAAAGACAAGATATAGTGAAAAATCTCTAAATTACCATGGTTAATCAAACAACTTCATTTAATTCAACTGAGTATACATTATTATGTTATGTATACCGGTTCATGTATAACATTGCATATTATGTGGTATAAACAGACAGAATTTATTGTCAGACAACTTCAGGCCCAGGAGAGCTATTAAAACAGTTGCACGGAATGTTTTGCTGCAGAATTAGTAAAAGAATATGTTAGGAACACATGGATAGTAACATTTTGAGAATGAAAGGTTAAAAATACATACACTTGTAACTCTTAACCATGCACACAGTGACCTTTTTTGATGTATAATAAATAAACAGTTTGAATTGTAGCTCTCTGATCATCCATCCAATTATTTAAACCAGTGAAACTAAATAAGGAAACTTACCTGTGTAGAATACAGGAACAGAGAAAAGACCCCTCCCTAACGAGACGGAAGAACCTCACATAGTTATTACTGTTGAGGGCTGCATAAACTTTGAGGGCATAGTTAATCAATGTTGAGTTTCGAACCTCTGGTCTTAACTGCTGGGTTTCTCTGAAAGTGTGAAATATGCATATACAATACATGTCAATATAATGTACAAAATTGAAGAGATACACACGTATAAGTAGATTAAAACATTTTTACAAGTACATGTAGATAAACTTTGGAATAAAGCACATACTATAATTTAAAATTCACATATTTAAAATCAGGATTGGGGGTAGGAAAAAGAGTGGGGAGATACCGACCTGAGAATATCGCCCTCATTGAGGTTCATCAGCACCATATAACACCTCATCTCTGCCTCGTTGGCACAGAACACTTGTTTCTTCTCCAGATCTGAGTAATTCTCCTTTAGAGTCTGCAAACACTTTGTCATGTTCTCATTGTTAATCTTGTCATCAAAGGAATGCATGTCTTCTTCACAGAGTCGCTCTGCACAGAAGATGTGGAAACGGACACACTTCTCCAAGAGTTCCACACTCTCCACGTTACAGAACTGCTGCTGAGTGATCTCCTACAATTCGTATTTATGTTGAAAACTTTACTGCACAAGAGAGAGCTCATGCTCAATCATTACAAGAGGCCCAAGGGCCTTAACGGTCACCTGAGTATAATACAACAATTTAGAAGTTCCATAGAGTATAAAATAAACTGATAGATGAAGCTTTGTTGCCCAAAAGCAAGAAAAATAGGATGATCAGAATCAATGAAATAATTAGTCTAGTATTCAGTAACAACTCATACATTAAATTCTAATTTATCCCCCATTTAGCACTATCACCATGCAGACTATTAACAAACTAATAGTTCCTCTGTACTACTTTTAACCCCACATTGTGACCTCTCACATTGGCCTCTCTTGGTCTTTGAAGAACATTTAATAAGTTATTTCTGTCTCATTTTTATCTATTTATTATTTACAAGTCTATCTGATCATTAAAACTATGAAAGTATTTTTTGTATTATTCCATAATTTTTTTTTTTTTTTGCATAATTCTCTCATTCTTTTAACTTTCAAATACATTATTTACAGTGATTAATTATCAAAAGTAAATGGCCAAGGGAATAACTTCTCTCAGTTGAATACAAATTAATAGAGCCCTGACTAGGACCAGAAAACTTGACCAAATGGTCCTGATGTTCAAAAATCTGGTAAAAATATCCTTGCTTATTAAAACTTTAATTCTATTTGCCTTCAATATGCCAAGGAGCAGAGAAGATTTTCAAAGAAATAGCATTTTCATTACAGATTCAACACACCCCTACCCTAACACTAAAACCCATGTCCCAGGGTCATGAAATTATAAATTTGGTAGAGGTACCCTCATCATCATAACTATGCACTTAGTTGAAGATTTTCAAAGAATTAACAGATTTTCATTTTATGAATAAATATAGCCCCCCCCCCCCCCCCAAAAAAAAAACCTGAAGACCACAAGTTTTAAAATTTTGTAAGAAGCACAATTGTTCATCATAACTATGCACTTTATTTATCTGCTCAACACTAAGGAACAGAGAGGACTATTTAACAGAATTAATGCATTTTCACTACATTATCAATAGAGTCCCATCCTTACACCAGAACATCTGACTTAAAAGTCATGATTCATGAAGAAGCACTCTTGTTCATCATAACTACACACTTAGTTTACTTTATAACCAGGAGCAGAAAACAAGATTTTCAAAGAATTAATGCATTTTCATTATATAATCAATAGACCCCCCCCCCCCCCACACCAGAACCCCTGACCCAGGGGCCATGAATTTCACGATTTTGGAAAAGGCATCATTGCTTGTCATAACCATGCACTTAGTTTGTTTATATAAAATCCAGGAGCAGAGAAGAAGATTTTCAAAGAATTAATGCATTTTCACTATATAACCAATTGAGCCCCACATTAACGCCAGAACCCCTGACCCTGGGGCCATGAATTTCACAATTTTGGAAAAGGAATCAATTCTTGTCATAACCATGCACTTAGTTTGTTTAAATAATATCCAGGAGCAGAGAAGAAGATCTTCAAAGAATTAAAGCATTTTCACTATATAATCAATAGAGCCCCACCTTAACACCAGAACCCCTGTCCCAGGGGCCATGAATTTCACAATTTTGGAAAAGGCATCAATGCTTGTCATAACCATGCACTTAGTTTGTTTAAATAATATCCAGGAGCAGAGAAGAAGATTTTCAAAGAATTAATGCATTTTCACTATATAATCAATAGAGCCCCATCCTAACACCAGAACCCCTGACCCAGGGGCCATGAATTTCACAATTTTTGAAAAGGCATCAATGCTTGTCATAACCATGCACTTAGTTTGTTTAAATAATACCCAGGAGCAGAGAAGAAGATTTTCAAAGAATTAATGGATTTTCACTATATAATCAATAGAGCCCCGCCCTAGCACCAGAACCCCTGACCCTGGGGCCATGAATTTCACAATTTAGGTAGAGGGCCCAATGCTTATTACAATCATGCCAACAGTTTGACTGCTTGATGTCCAGGAGTAAAGAAGAAGATTTTTAAAGATTGCATCAATTTTGGTGGTTTTAGCCCCACCCCTTGGGCCCCAGGGGAGCAGGGACCATGAAATTCACAATTTGTGTTCCCCTTCACCCAAAAAAGCTATATGCCAAAATTGGTTGAAATTGGTTGAGCGGTTCTAGAGAAGAAGATGAAAATGTTCAAAAGTTAACGCACGATGACGGACAAAAACGGATAGCAATAGGTCACCTGAGTGACTCAGGTGACCTAAAAATGGAGAAGGAAATGTTTCACTTTCACATGTACACGAGATACTCCTACCTCTTTGAATTTCATTGTGATAATTATAGTTCAATAAAATATAATGACTTATAATATTGTATATTATATACAGCTATGCTTGCAGATACTGTCTGAAAATAAATGTTAATTGACATTTTGTGTACCTTACGAATTCCTCGGGTCCTATTCCAAAGGAAATCAAACCAATCCCCCCACTTGCCATCCTCACCCCGGTCAGCTATCTCCCTCAGTAAGTAGGTCATTGTCAAGGTCAGGGTTGGAAGGGTCCTCAATTCATATGGCAATGGTTCCTCCTGTTTAACAAATATTTGGAACATTTTCAATATGTCCATGAACATGAAAATATATAACATTATAACAATTTTCCCCCCAAAATTTATTTTAGATTGAATAAATACAAGCTTAGTGTAAAGTGAAGTGTGGAGGTACATCTATATACACCGTATACATGTATATGTATGTATTTAAAATTATCCAAAGAAATGCATTGTAAACATGCATAATGCCAAGTAAGATCCTTACATGAGAGACTTTAATGTGAAAATAACATGAAGCTCAAGTAAAACTGAGTTGTATTTCAAGCTACAAGTTGAGTTGTATTTCAAATTAAACATCTACATGCAACATCTATGAAATTCTCTTTCCAGTATTTTTTTTTATTAATGAATCAGACCTGATCAGCTGAGGATCTGCTGTACTCCTTAACTGCCAGAGTGTGGTTCACCTGAGGATTACCAGACTGTGAATAAAAAGAGATTATTTATACACATACAAGGGTTGTCCCAAAAAGTCGTAGACAATGTCTATAACTTTGTAAACATTCAACCAATACTTACCAAATTTTGCATGACTATTATTTATCAAAAGTCCATTAAAACAGTGATTTTTTTTTTTAAATGAAATCTTTCATAGTAATAATATTATGATGATTTTTAAGAAAGTAGATATGGTCTGTCGGCACACGCTCAAAATCCAGAATAATTTATGTTTATACAAATAGTAAGAGCAATTGAAATTTCAACATTTATTAAAAAAAATCAAAACATGAAACTACAATGTTCACAATCACTCAATAAGCTAAAAAATTTATACACAAAAAATAAAACAAGAGGCCCACGGGCCTTATAGGTCACCTGAGTATCGTGCAACAACTTTCCAACAATTGAATTTGGTTTGTATTTTAAACCAGAGGCCATGTAATTCACAATTTTGAAAGATGCACCATTGCTCATCATAACTATACAGTTAGCATGCTTACTTTGATTACTTAATACCCAGAGGCACATCAGAGGAACAAAAACAAGAGAAGTAGGAAGATCAGGATCAACAAAATAATTAGTCTAGTATTCACTATCAACTCAGAAATTGAGTTCTAATGTGTCCCCCACTTAACACTATCACCATGCAGACTATTAACAAACTATTAGTGCTTCTGTACTATTTTTAAACCCATATTAAGACCTCTAGCATTGACCTCTCTTATGGTCTTTAAAGAACTTTTAATAAGATAAGTTATTTTTGTCTCATTTTTATTTATCTATTACTTACAGGTCTACCTGATTATTAAAACTAAGAAAGTACTTTTTTAATTATACAATAAACATTCTTGCATAATTACCTTATTCTATTAACCTTTCAAATACATTATTTACAGTGATTAATTATCAAAGGTGAATGGAAAAGGGGAATAACTTCTCTCAGTAGAATACAAATTAAAAGAGCCCTGCCCAGGACCAGAATGCTTAGACGAATGGTCCAGATGTTTAAAAAATCTGGTAGAAATACGCTTACTCATATCATTTAAACTTTTACTCAGTTTGCTTCCGATATGCCCAGAAGCAGAGAAGAATTTCACAGGTACAATGCATTTTCACTACAGATTCAACAAAGCCTTACCCTAACAGCAGAACCCAAGACCAAGGGTCAAGAAATTTACAAATTCGGTAGAGTTACCCTCATCATCATTACTATGGACTTCAAAGAATTAACACTTTTCACTATATTATCAAAAGCCCCCCCCCCCCCTCGTTATGCCAGAACCCCTGACCCTAGGACCACAAGATTTAAAAATTCTGTTCGAAGCTCCCATTTTCATCATAGCTAAGCAATTTATTTATCAGCTCAACACTAAGGAGCCCACAGGATTAATTAATGATTAATTAATAGAATTAATGCTTTTTCACTATATAATCAATAGAGCCCCCCCCCCCTCCCCCTCCTCAAGAACCCAAAAAACTGAGGCCATTTATTTAAAAATTTTGGAAGAGGCATCCTTGTCTATCATAATCATGCACTTAGTTTGTTTAAATAATCTCCAGTAGCAGAGAAGAAGATTTTCAAAGAATCAATGCATTTTCACTATATAATCAATAGAGCCCCGCCCTAACACCAGAACCCCTGAACCTGGGGCCATGAAATTCACAATTTTGGAAAAGGCATCCTTATGCATCATAACCATGCACATAGTTTGTTTAAATAGTCTCCAGTAGCAGAGAAGAAGATTTTCAAAGAATTAATGCATTTTCACTATATAATCAATAGAGCCCCGCCCTAACACAAGAACCCCTGCCCTGGGGCCATGAAATTCACAATTTTTGAAAAGGCATCCTTATGCATCATAACCATGCACTTAGTTTGTTTAAATAATACCCAGGAGCAGAGAAGAAGATTTTCAAAGAATTAATGCATTTTCACTATATAATCAATAGAGCCCCGCCCTAACACCAGAACCCCTGACCCAGGGGCCATGGCTTTCACAATTCTGGAAGAGGCCCACCTCCTCATCATAACTATGTACTTAGTTTATCACCTTAATGCCCAGGAGCAGAGAAGAAGATTTTCAAAGAATTAATGCATTTTCACTATATAATCAATAGAGCCCCGCCCTAACACCAGAACCCCTGACCCTGGGGTCATGAAATTCACAATTTTGGAAGAGGCACTCTTGCTCATAATAACTATGTACTTAGTTACTTTATTTAATACCCAGGAGCAAAGAAGAAGGTTTTCAAAGAATTAATGCATTTTCACTATATAATCAATAGAGCCCCGCCCTAACACCAGAACCCCTGACCCTGGGGTCATGAATTTTCACAATTTTTAAAGGGGCACTCTTGCTTATCATAACTATGTACTTAGTTCCTTTATTTGATACCCAGGAGCAGAGAAGAAGATTTTCAAGAATTAATGCATTTTCACTATATAATCAATAGAGCCCCTCCCTAACACCAGAACCCCTGACCCTGGGGCCATGAATTTCACAATTTTGGAAGAAGCACTCTTGCTCATCATAACTATGTACTTAGTAACTTTATTTAATACCCAGGAGCAGAGAAGAAGATTTTCAAAGAAATGATGCACTTTCACTATATGATCTTTATAGCCCCACCCTGGGGCCAGAACCCCTGACCCTGGGGCCATGAATTTCACAATTTTGGTAGAGGGCTCAATGCTTATTACAATGATGCCAACAGTTTGACTGCTTGATGTCCAGGAGTAAAGAAGAAGATTTTTAAAGATTGCATTATTTTTGGTGGTTTTAGCCCCACCCCTCAGGCCCCAGGGGGGCAGGGACCATGAAATTCACAATTTTTGTTCCCCTCCACCCAAAAATGCTGTATACCAAATTTGGATGTAATTGGTCCAGTGGTTCCAGAGAAGAAGCTAAAAATGTTCAAAAGTTTACGACCGACGAACGACGTCGGACGAAAACGGATAGCAATAGGTCACCTGAGTTTACTCAGGTGACCTAAAAAATCATACATCCATCTTGTTTTATACCACATAACTTTGGCCTTCTCGGGGGCTACTCACATATAAAGTAAAAACAAATTCCTGGGTTGACACCATCAGGAAATTGTTCCACTGTAACCATAGAAACCTGGGTTGACACCATCAGGTTGTGAGTAAGGGTACCCGGGTTGACACCATCGGGTTTTAATGAATGGAACCTGGGTTGACACCATCAGGTTTAAATTTTTGAGATACCTGGGTTGACACCATCAGGTTTACATGAAATGACCCGGGTTGACACCAGCGGGTAGCTATATTTAATTAATTACATAATGCAGAAAAATTTATCTGAATTGGGGGTAAACAGGCCAAAATGAATGAACATCATATTATAAGTGGGTATTAAGAATTGATGTGAGTGAATGCCAAATCCAGAATAATTTATGTATGTTACTATTGCAATTGCATTTATTGTTTTGATAATATGTAAAACATAAAATTCAAATTTATGTCAATTAAGTTAGAAAACAAAGCTGCATAATATATAAAATTTTCATGTTGACAGCTGTGGAGACAGAGGAGTGGTGACACAATTTTTAAAACGTTATCTGTATCGAGGTTGCTGCAAATGACGTCGTCAAACACGTCCCGGTGAACAGAGATATAATAAAATGTTGGTTTGATCGTGCCATCTCCCCCTCAGAGATGAAATATATATAGCGAGGACATAAAACCAGGGTTGCAAATAACATTTTAAACCTGTTTTCATTCACTTTAAGGCATGTATTTTAAATCATATGTTTCTATCATAAAATTACAGAAAGCTTACTTTACCGCCTTTCAAAGTTCGTAGCTTGAAATATTTTTTAACCCACGGTAGCAGCAAAAGATCAGAAAACGTCTTCAACATTCTTATATCAGGAGGAAAATTAAAATAAAGCTGCTAATTGTGAATGATAAACAGTGTGCATCTTAATAGGATATGGAAGAAAACCTGCTTCCGTTGATACATAAAAAGGAATTTTCATACTTTTAAGGAAGCGTATCATCGACATGATTCTGGGTCTTGGAAGAAAACAGTGAAAATGAAAGTGCATTAATAGTAGAACCAAACCACGATCTGGCTCCGGAAAAGGTCCGACAAAATTCTTACTCGCCATGTGGGCGATAACATCCTCAAGAGTTGGTCGCCCACAGGCAAAATTACTTGCATTTTTGAGTGGGCGAGTGGTTATTTGCAACCCTGAAAGCACTATTATGTTACTATAAAAGTTGTCAATCAATGGCATAAGAGATTATGGACAGTTTTACTTCATCACCAGAAAAAGGTAGGCCTAAGAATAAGAGTTATGATTGAATGTTAAATTGCTTAACCCCATGATAATACTCACCCCTTCTGAGGTCTGTAAAACCTCGTAAGGATGAAGTCTGCGTTTCTCCTCTCTATCATATCTTTCCTTCTCTGGACACATATCTGTACATGTCCCAACAAATGCCCGGGCAGTAGCTAAGTCTGACTGCTTCTTAGGTCCTGTAATAAAGATCTCTTTGATTATTTCCTTTTTTAAGATGCATATTCACAATGAAATCACAGTCCCTTCAGAAGTACACTGTAATGTCACTGAAGAAGAATAAGGAATTAAAATCTGGTTTTGATTTTGTAAAAAAAAAAAAAAAATAAGAAACATAATGTATCCTTACCAAGACGATTAACTTTGTCACGTAAATTAAGAATCTGAAGCCTGTCAGAATTATTTCTGGCAATAGAGTTTCTCAGACTGATGACAGCACCTGTAAATAGATTTGTCTTATGAAATGCGTAGTTGTACGACTATGTACCCATAAGCCACAGAGATTGGTCCCCATAAATTAGAATGATTTCACCAAAATGTGCACAGGGTTCTCATTAACGCAAGAATCTGCGTCCTAGACGCAGCAAAATTACTTGGGATGCAAGGTTCTTAAAAACGATGCATCCGCGGACTCCTGATCGGACGTGTCCTCGTTAGCGAGAAAATTCAGGTGATTTTAAAAACGTGGAATTTAGATGTTAGGATTTGTCAAAGAAATATTTCATCGAAACCTTCTTGTAACTATCATAATGTTTATCCAAGAAACAACTTTTCTTGTACTTATTTCTCTTTTTTTTAAACGGGGATTGATCATAAGATATTTCATGTTTATTAGTCCATAGTCAAAATAGTGTGGCATGCCAAACTCTGACAGCTGTAAACACACTGCAGCTTTTTTTTAAAAAACACTTTTGAATCTTGAGTGTTATCTACATGTAGAAACCATAATTACTGCTTGTATACACAATGGGGCTTGATTATCGTGAATTTCACCCAGTGCAGATGACCGACAGGATTAGTTACGCCTCATTGCACATGACACCTGTGATTGTATACAGTCAACTTTTGGGGCTAGTTGATTATGCGACAGTTAATTTTAGCTTTATAAACACCAGGTTATTTTTATAGCAATTGATTAAGCGTGTATTTTAGAATATGGCTTGAATGCATTAACAGTTTATATACTTGAATATGTTAATATTCCGTAAAGAAACTGATAAAATGATAAAGACTTTTATTGATGTTTGGATGGAAGGATACTGCAATAATTTAGTTGGGACTCAACATAATTTTTCTGGGACGCATCAAATTTAGCTGGGACGCAACCTTCTCAGAAATCTTGAGTCCTGGGACTCAAGTTAGCAAAATCCTAGTGAGAACCCTGGTGCATCTAAAAAAGTTATTCAATTTGTGGTGGATTTGCAGACCTAGCAAATGATCATCAGAAATTAGAAAAATATGCTGATTTGAATGTCAATAACATACAAAAGAATTAAAATTCATAACTCTTAAAATATAGAAATTCTTAAAAAAAAACATTTTTTCAAGCCTTCAGCGAGCTCAGATATAAAGATCAAAATTCTGAAGCCTCCTTCTCTTCAACATGGCTTGACGGATCATAAGCAAACAGAATTTTGCCATGTTTGCTAAATATGATGGATGGACAGGCAGCTAAAAGTTTGGAGGGATAGACAGAGATGACATCAATTTGCTCAAACTATATATATAAAATGTCATAAGTGTGGGTAAAAATATTCATTGTATGTGGGTTGTTTTTTTCAAAACAGTGAAAATTACAACCATTCAGTAAATGAACATAGACTTATATGTCACTGTATACAGTGTAGTGTCAAGTATAATTACCTTTGTCTATTTTGGTGGGAATTGCTGGAGATGAACTTGTTCCACTTGGTACAGGACTGGCATGCCGCATTGCTCGCTCAGTAGACTGTGACTGCTGACCCTTAACCTCATCAGGAAGAGACATGACCTGCTGTTTCTGACCACTGATGTCACTGGTACCAGACATACTGGCCAGTTCTTCATCCACATCATTTCTCCTCCACTTAAATTGACTTGCTCCAGCTTTAACTATACAGAAGAGCATTGGTATGTTGTTAAAACAAGTATTGGTATGTTTTTAACACAGTAAAATTATAAGAAAATTCTGCAGAACTGAAAGAAATGAAATGCAGTGCTGATCAAAGAATGGGAAACAAATGTTAATACTAGATATCTACCATTTCTTTCTTGCTATGACTCAGACAAATGGTTTAATTAAATTGAGCTTTAGGATTGAGCTTTTACTAATTACAATCTCAATCACAGGGAAAATGTTTTGTCAAAATCAGATTTGATCATCTTCCTTTACAACTTTTAACCACGGGGTTCGACACTAACTTTTTAAGGCTTTAGTCCAGCTGGACTAGTGCTTCATTACTTTTACTAGTCCGCAGGCGATTTTATTAGTCCGTCAAAAAAAAAGAAACATCAATGTTTTTTAACATTAATTTAACGTGACAATTAATATACATATTATTTTTTGAAATAAAAAAAGTATTTACGTGAAATATATTATTCCATAGATTCATTGAAATCTCGTTATCAGCATGTACGATTATCGTATTCCCAATCTCGTTTTTTTTTTTAAATTTAATTTTTTTTGTCTTAACATTACATCCAAAACGTCCAACATATTTCTTAAAAGTGTCATACTAAATCATGATCGCTAAAACCTTATACTTCACATCGATCAGTCGAAAAATTAAGCACTGAATTGACCCAGCATTGCATAATTACCTGCCAAAAGCTAGAAATCTGAAAATACATGCGGGGTTTTCCAGTAAAAGTTGCCGAGAATCAGACATCGGTAATTTATTCATAGTGTTTTTCAGAAATTTTTATTGGTCCATTCGGACTAATTAGCCCCATATTTTATTAGTCCGAATGAAAATGTTTTAATCTGAGACTAACGTTAGTGTCGAACCCTGAACCAGCAATGAAAACAGTGATGACCCTGACCTTGGGCGTGTCTTTTGAGTGGTCCTTGGGGTGTGCTTGCATCTTCCGTTGAGGATTTTCGTCCCAGCCCCTTTGCTGCAGGAGAAAATGAACTCCAGAATATTTCCATCCTCTTCTCCCCCTTCATAATGACTGCCCCCTTTCTCTTGGCCTCTAAAGCAGCTTCCTTCAAAGACAAAAACATTTTTTTTTCACATACAGTATTTAACTTGCAATATGTGTAAACCATTCTAATAAAAAATAGTCTTTTACTTTCCATATTAATGGAATAGAGCACACCCACAAGAAATGATTTTAAAGCTGTATGATCTGCATGTGTTAAGTATTTTTTACCCATGGACATTATCATCTAGGTATGTTTATCATATGTTCAAATGAGAAAATATCCTTTCCACTTATCCTAGATGTCTTATGCTTAAGTTGTAATTAAAGAAATAATTTTTTACCCATGGACATTACCGTCTAGGTCTGTTTATCATATGTTCAAATGAGAAAATATTCTTTCCACTTATCCTAGATGTCTTATGCCTAAGTTGTAATTAAAGAAAAAAATTCTTTGCTTACCAACAAAAATTCATGAATATTCAGCATAAAGATCCTATCAGAACGATCTTGTGACCTTCCAAAAGAATGACAAGGTAAAACACGTATTTGTTTACTGAGTAGAATTTCATAGCTTAACCACCTATTTATCTCATGCTATGTTCAAGAATTTTTTTTATTCAGTTCAGTAGACTGATTGCTGCACTTCTTATCTTTCATCTGAATTCCATCAAAATAACCAGCTTTTCACAACTCTTAATATGCCCTTGTGAAATCTCATGTTTACAATTGAAGCGAAACTATTTATTGTGCAATGCCAAGTGCATTATCAGCAGTCATTTGTATTACTGTGGAACCACAATAACTATTTTTTTAACCTTCTAATTTCTTTTTCTCTGAATAGATGCAAACAAGAGTGTGTAATTTTCGGAAAGTGAGAACCTTTTACACTGTAAATGATGGTGGTAAATCATAATTTCTGAGATTAAAAAGATTGGAACATAAAGTTTTAACTGACTAGAAAACATTCAATCATTATATAACTAAATATTTTTAAATTTAATGAACAGTAAATATGAGAATCAGGTATATTTTTTCTTAAAACTTTAAACATAAACTTGACATTTCAGGATCATATCTCACATGAGTTTTGAAATGAATGGTGGCCATTCCTTTGTCTGGTTTGGTTATAACACGTGTGACTTCCCCAAATTTGGTGAAATGTTGTCGCAGTTTCTGGCCACTGTTGAATCGTGGAGGGACATTTTTGCAGATCAGGGCTACTCTGTCCTCCACACTGGAAAGTCTCCTGGTGGAGGTAGCTCTTTTGGCATGAGTTTCCTCTTCTAGGAAATAAGAAGTACAAGATTTAAATGTGAGGTTTTCAGAATCCCTCAGGGAACATAAAATGGAAATTTGGGTGATGAAATCTACCAGATTAACAAAATTGATGCACAGAGAAGTATCATAAAATTCAGAATAATTAAATGAGAATCAGTTTTAGAACTCAGCTTAACAATGATCATGATTCTGGGGGCCTGGTCTACCTGTTTCATCACTAGATCTCCTCTTCATTTTCCTCCCCTCCTCTCCTTCTGCCCCCCGTCTCCAAGTCATCTGTTGTGTACTCGCTATTGCCTTACCAAACAAAGTTTGAGCACCACCTGTTAAAAATGAATAAAAATCGTAAATATATCACAAGAAAATCCAAAATGTCAATGAAAATTAACTTCTTAAATAATAAAAATAATGAATTCTTTCTTATATTTCAAAATATTATTTTCATTTGATAAGGGTGCATAATAAATCCAAATACAACAATGGACATCAAAATTATACCATAGACATCATATAATTTTATAGCAAAATTAAGCCATTTCAGAGATCTGGCAAAATCTACCATCAAATCTAAGTCATTCAAAAGCCTAGCTGTATATATATAATCAAACTCATTTTACTGTGTTCAAATTTAGCCATTCCAGAGAGAGAGTTTACCTAATTAAAAGCAAAACCTAGCAAGACAGTAAGACCTAGCCATTCTGAAACATTTAATTTCTACTAAAATTATTAAATTACCTGGTTTTGGGCCCATATTAGCTGCTTTACTGAACAAATTCTTCTTGGATTTTGAGGAAACTGTATCAACACCAACTAAAAAATAATATTTAGTTAGTAAATGTACTAAAAATAGCACACTCAAAAATTTTGCTTCATCTTCCTCCTCACCTGATTCATGCAATCATATATTGGGGCACTTGAAACCAGGCTTCTGTTTGCATTTGTTTTACTCATATACAGTAAAACATGCTTATAACGAAGTGTCAGGGACAGATAATTTCGGTTCATAATAAACGTTATTTGTTATATCTGTTAGTATCACAATACAATTTTAAGTCACGGGGAATGAAAATCACTTCGGTGTAAGCATCAATTCATTTTAAGCGTGTTCGCTATAAGCGTGTTTTACTGTATAAGCATGTACTTCAATTACCTGACAAGATTATCACTAAATTACAGTAAGACAACTCACCCTCCGTAGCAGCTGTGGACTGTATAGTTTTTGAGGTTGATCCTTTCAGAATGAACATAGACGCTGGGGGTGACAATTCTTTAATTTCCCCTGAAGATTTGTCCCTTAATGACACAGGACCTTTATTTCCATCTTCAGAGGAACCTCCTGAACCAAAAGCCTTGCTGCTGGATTCCCCTCCCACCAAAGATGAAGAAGCTGGGACAGGCTTGCCGAACAACTGCTGAGATTCCCCATGGGGCTTTTGGTGAAACAAGGCTGAAGTTCCTGATGCACTAGCCCCAAACAGATGGCCTGTTTGATTGGTTTGTGCAGTAGATTTGAAAAGGGCACCTCCTTGTGGCACTGCATCAGCTGTTTGAGTGGATGTACCAAATAATCTACTTCCTGTGGTGGGTGGTCCACCAAATGCTCCGCTTGGGGTGGAAGATGTTCCACCAAAAGGTACACTTCCTGATCCAAATACATCACTTCCTGTTGAGGATTTTCCTACACTACTGGCTGTAGATTTTGATCCTTGAAATGCTGTACCTGAATTGGATGATCCAGCATTCCCCGTGGTCTGTGAAGGAAAAGCTCCAATTGGACCAAAAAGGCCAGGTTTGGGATCTGAAGCAAGAGTATTTCCTGAAGTTGATGTTGGCTGATTTCCATTTCCTTTTGTACTTGAAGCTCCAAATGTAGATGTAGATCCAAATAATGAACCTTCAAATAAACAAAAATTATTTATTTCAGTATTTTTTTCTTAAATTTTAGAACCAACAAATTAGTTATCAGTCTCTGAAAGCTGACATGGTGTTAAAGTGTTTTATCTTCTGAGTATACTAGGTTAATTACCTTTTAGTTTATAAACAAAGATCATTTTTTAATCACGGAGTTAAAAAAATTCTAGTTTTCATGATCAGTGTATTTCACAAAGTAAAACTCCCTTAATTTTTAGGTCTAGCACTAGACCAGCAGTGCTATTCCTTTGATTAACAGCTGTATATACATGATGTTCCTTTATTCAGGGATTTAAAATATTTACCTGGTAAGCTATTTTGAACAGAATTTTCTTTTTAACCATGTCAACTTTACATTTTATTTATGATTTAAAGAAAACAAATAACAAAACTTATGTTTGTGGACAAAAAATATTAATTTGTACTCATCAATTCAAAACAATGCATGAACAAGAGGCCCATGGGCCACATTGCTCACCTGAGCACATTGGCTAGGCAAAACCACAAATCAGTTCAGTATTGAAAAGGTTACTGGGGGGGGGGGGGGGGGGGGCTGATGATGCTTTCATGTCAATTTAACAAATGGCTTTGTTGTACTTGAGTAAATTTTGAAAAAATTTCCCCATATAATCCTTTGTAAAAATTTGATCCCCCATTGTGGCTCCTCCCTATCCCAGAGGTCAATATTTGAACAAACTTGAATCTACACTAACTGAGGATGCTTCCATATCAATATGACTAAACATAGCTTTTCTGTTCTTGAGAAGAAATATTTTTTCTGCATGTTCTTATGTAAAACTTTCGATCCCCGATTGGGCCCCACCCTACCCCCGGGGTCATCATTTGAACGAATTTGATTTACACTATCTGAGGATGCTTCCATATCAAAATGACTAAACATGATTTTCAGTTCTTGAGAAGAGGATATTTTCCTATTTGTTCCTATGTAAAATTTTCGACACCCTAATGTGGCCCATCCCTATCCCCGGGGGTCATCATTTTAACAAACTTGAATCTACACTACCTGAGGATGCTTCCATATCAAAATGACTAATCATGGCTTTGCAGTTCTTGAGAAGAGGATATTTTCCTATTTGTTCCTATGTAAAATTTTCGACACCCCATTGTGGCCCATCCCTATCCCCGGGGGTCATCATTTTAACAAACTTGAATCTACACTACCTGAGGATGCTTCCATATCAAAATGACTAATCATGGCTTTGCAGTTCTTCATCAGAAAGATATTTTCCTATATATTTCTATTTAAGACTTTGATCCTCCATTGTGGCCCCGCCCTACCCCAGGGGGTCATGATTTGGACAATCTTGAATTTATACTACCTGAGGATACTTCCACATAAATATGAACAATCAGGGCTTTGCTGTTCCTGAGAAGAAGATTTTAAAAATTTTTCCTATATATTTTTATGTAAAACTTTGATCCTCAATTGTGGCCCCGCCCTACCCCCAGGGGTCATGATTTGAACAAATTTGAATTTTTACTACCTGAGGATGCTTCCATATAAATATTACCAATCAGGGCTTTGCTGTTCTTGAGAAGAAGTTTTTTTTTAAAGATTTTTCCTATATATTTCTATGTAAAACTTTGATCCTCCATTGTGGCCCCGCCCTACCCTCGGGGGTCATGATTTGAACAAACTTGAATCTTCACTACTTGAGGATGCTTCCATATAAATATGACTCATCATGGCTTTGCTGTTCTTGAGAAGAAGATTTTTAAAGGTTTTTCCTATATATTTCTATGTAAAACTTTGATCCTCCATTGTGGCCCCGCCCTACCCCCAGGGGTCATGATTTGAACAAATTTGAATCTACACTACCTGAGGATGCTTTCATATAAATATGACCAATCAGGGCTTTGCTGTTCTTGAGAAGAAGATTTTTTTTTTATCAAGATTTTTCCTATATATTTCTATGTAAAACTTTGATCCTCCATTGTGGCCCCGCCCTATCCTCAGGGGTCATGATTTGAACAAACTTGAATCTACACTACCTGAGCATGCTTCCATATAAATATGACCAATCAGGGCTTTGCTGTTCTTGAGAAGAAGATTTTTAAAGGTTTTTCCTATACATTTCTATGTAAAACTTTGATCCTCCATTGTGGCCCCACCCTACCCCCGGGGGTCATGATTTGAACAAACTTGAATCTACACTACCTGAGGATGCTTCCACATGAGTTTCATCTTCCCTGGCTTTGTGGTTCTTGACAAGAAGATTTTTAAAAGATGCTATTAATTTTTCACTAATTCTTTATTATCTCCCCTTGAAAGAGGGCATGGCCCTTCATTTGAACAAACCTGAATCCCCTTCACCCAAGGATACTTTGTGGCAAGTTTGGTTGAAATTGGCCCAGTGGTTCTTGAGAAGAAGATGAAAATGTGAAAAGTTTACGACAACAACGACGCCGACGACAACGACGACGACAGACAACGGACAAATTTTGATCAGAAAAGCTCACTTGAGCCTTTGGCTCAGGTGAGCTAAAAAATTGATTTCTAATATATGTGTCTTCATCACATTTACAAGTTTCTTATTTAAACTCCTAAAAGTTTTTGGACTATTAAAAAACAATTTTTGCCACAAAAAAAAATGATTATAACCAGCTAGTGTATAACTTTGAGGGAGCTGGTGGCCAAGAAATTAAGTTAAATCACTTTTTATTTGTGAGAACTTAATTTTCTCTTAATCATGTTAATTAAGTCTGCTTGCAAAAATTTCATTCTCGCATATTTTTTTTTTTTTAATCGTAGGATATATACAGCAATAAGCAGTATTCAAAAAAGTTTCGTCTTCCTTATAAATACCAAATACCTATCTTGCGAAAAATTTGGTGATCTATCCAGCAGATCCAACTAAAACTTTAAATATGAAATATGATTTTTCTTCATATTCTAGCCAAAACTGTTATTTCTAAACAAAAAACCACACATGTTCTAATAGCAACATGTTCAATTACATGTATAAAATTTAATGCAATTTCCTATATTTTTGTAGAGCTCTTCTTCTCCAGGTTTAAATAGTCTAAAAATGGCCATGATGCCCAGTTGTCTTAGGGGCAGCGTTGTTTAAAGTATCTGAAGTTTGGATTGGTTTTGAACTCTTTGAAGTACAAATTAGTTTTCAAACTTTTGCAGCATTTGGTCTATTATAAGCAAAAGGCATCACTGTGAACATAATTTTGTTAAATAGATCTATCAGGCTATATTGGATCATTATAGGTATAGTTTAATAAAACTATACACTGCTCATTCAAGCTTAAGTAACAGAGCATGCAGAATGTGCTCATCTTGATTTTCTCACCTGTTGTTTGCCCAAACCCTCCAGCTGTTCCAGATCCTGATAAGGTAGTACTTGATGTTGTCCCAAAGTTACTTCCAGCTCGAGTTGTAGCACCAAAGCCAGAGGTCTTCCCAAAAGCTGACAGAGAGCCAGAAGCACTTGTTGTTGATCCCCCAGATCCAGATCCAAAACCCCCTAAAGTTTTTGACCCACCAAACCCTGCCCCAAACCCTCCACTTGAAGACAACCCTGCTGAACTAGATCCAAACCCTCCACTTGTTGTTTTACTAGTGGATCCAGACCCAAAACCACTTGCTCCAGACCCAAAACCTCCACTGGTTGTTGATCCAGCAGATCCAGCTCCAAAACCTCCACTTCCAAATGCATTAGTACTTGTTCCAAATCCACTATTTGTTGTGGATGTTCCAAATCCACCTCCAAAAGCACTTGTTCCAGGTTTCAAAACACCTTCTGTAGAACTTCCTCCAAACCCTTTTGATGATGATCCAAATCCAGCATTTGTTGAACCAGCTCCAAAACCTGTACCACCTGATCCAGTCCCAAAGCCAGAGGAACTGGATCCAAAAGAACTGGTTCCAGCTGATGTACCAAAAGCTGTGTTCGCTGAAGCAGAACCAAACGCAGTATTCCCAAGGCTTGTGGTTCCTGTGCTTTGTCCGAATGGAGAAGCTCCACCAAAAGAATTGGTCGGCGGCTGCCTAAATCCTGATTGAGATAAGCTGGAACTTGAAGTCTGTGCACCAAATGATGTCCCAAACCCTGGGGTGGGACTCCCAAAAGGACTGGACATTGCTTACGACTTCCTACAACCAAAATTCAAGTAATGTATAGAAAAACTATTGGCAAAATAATATGGGTACTGCTAATCACTCTTTACTAACAAGAACTTTATTTTCATGTAATTATGCGAGACAGTCTGCTGATATCCAAAAATTTCATTCTTGCTTACATTTTTATAAGTATAGGGTAGAACAATTTTTTTTATAAACATTAATCTAGTATTAATTCAATATGTGCATTACGATTATAAAACAAACTTAAATTATTATAAACAACCCAATATATAACAAATTCATTTATTAGGATATAAACAAGTTTAAGATTAAAAAAAAACAAACTGATGGGCTGCGTTAATTGAATGAAATTAAAGAACTGTAAAAGGTGACTGTGATGGAAGTATCTTTTTTATAAATATGTAGAATATGTATTATGTAATTAAAAAGTTACTGAAATTACATGGTATTTTTTCAGAGTAAATACTGTAATTATTAATTAAATCACGATTACAAGTAGTTGAAAAAATTATCAATTACAAATACTTTTTCAATTACTGGTACCCCATCCCTGATGCCTTTTACCCTAAAAAAATATTCCATATAAAGATGAAAATTAAGCTCATTTTCTCAATGGTGTTTCTCAAATTTACACACCATATTGACCTTTGGAAATCTCTGCATTATACATAGTAAACTGTAGCTATGTATATTGGAGTAATCTGCCCCTGTTCATTTTGCTAAATTGCCAACAGAAAACGAATTCCATCATTAAACGGGGTCCGTAGACAATATCATTTTAATGATAGAATGTCTATATATATGGTAAGTGAAAACAGGAGGTGAAACAACTGTAGATTTCATATAACTGACACTTGAATTAGAGCATATACACTCTCTTAAGCACACAACTACTGGGCACTCAGGGATATATTATGTAATGGTTTGAGCCGTGGATATTAGCGCGAGAAGCTCATTGGTTAGAGCCCCCGACTAGTGATGCAGGAGTCACAGGTTCGATTCCCAATCCAGCCATGTATACATTTTCTCCTTTCCTGTTACGTAATTTGGTGTTGTTGACCACACTGGACCAGCGTTTTTTTTTCTTATATAACTGGTACCAATAAACGGTACCATTCCCAATGCCAAAAACCGTTAATTTTTCCCAAGTTTGAGACTGAAAATTCCCAATTCACCTGCCAAGGAACAAACCAGGATAAAATCGTAATTCTTTTCATAGGAAACCTTGTATGAGTTATCTAAATATTGTCACTTCCTCTCAAATAATATGGCAGGACACGTGTTGTAAACAGCATAGTCATGCTGTTTTCTTACATTTTGGACAACTTGAAAGCTATGAAAATAAGGGACATTAATTTGTAAATCAATGAATATTCCTTGATTATTCTTTACAGCGTGAATTAATAGGTAATGAGGTTAGAATAAATGCAAAATAAACTTCATTTGTTGACAATCGACATGACAAAAAATTCCCCTTGTTCTATTTTTAACACCATCTTTCCCAATTGAATCGGTACCTGACCCATTCCCAATGGGTAGAGAAAAAAAAATTGCTGCTGGACATGCAGGTGAAAGTCCTGCCAAAAAAAAAACCCAGCTTGGATTCTGTCTTTGATGTAGATAGGACGTTCTATCGTTAAAATGATATTGTCCTACGGACCCGGTTTAGCGATAGAATTCGTTCGTATTGGCAATGTTGCAAAATAAACATGGGTGATAACTCAAACTCTGTGCATTTTCTGTGAACAATCCAGAGAGTTCCGAACATCATCATGGCGTTAAATTTGAAGCGAGGAAAAAACGTTGAGAAAATGAGTTGAATTTTCGTATTTATATGGACTATTTTTTAGGTTAAAAGGCATATACAATCTCAAAAAGGTTTGTTATGGTTAATTTGGTAGTTATTTTCAGTGCAACTCCTTTTGTATTCTTCAAAATCATTTCAGAGTGGATCCACTCCGATTTGCTACATTGCAAGTATATGGGATGTATTCTAACTGTGGTCAAGGCTTGTCCCGAGACACAGTTAGATTATTCTAACTATCTTTGATGGTGAAGACAATTTCAGAAGGGAGAAAATTATCAATGAAATTATCTGACCTGAGTTTTGGATATTCAGACTTTTTTTTTGTGCTATAGGTTAAACCCCTGGAGCCCGTTTAACAGAAGAACTTACGACTTAGACCAAAATTTAATTCTTGTCATAATTATTTACACTAAACAGGTACGGCACAATCTCTTGATTTAGATATATAGCTTGAAAAAGCTATATAGCTTTATTAAGCTATTCAGAATAGCTTGATTTAGCTATTTTATCACACTTTTTTCTGAAATGTGTTATTTTCTCAGCATGCACAAAAAGTCGCACCTTGGTGCAGTGATAATATTCAACCTTGAATTCTTCTGAAAATAATGCATGTAAAAATCACTCATCAAATTACGTCTCCTTAAGAGACTTTGTACTCAAAGTTCTAAAAGTTTTCGGGCTATATAAAGCAATTGATACAGTTACTTCTTCATTGAAATTATAAAAGTGGCCAACTATGGTCAACAAGATAATTGATTGGTAATCATGGTAATAATTCAGTACAATGAGAAGCAATCATACTTATCCACACCTCAATGCACACAAGGTGGTGTACAGTTACTCAAACAATGGAAATTCATCTTTTGCTTAAAAGTATTCAAATGCTGCAATGTTAGAACTATCTTTGATTTCGGTTGTTGTTTTGATAGCCAATAGTACATCATGTACATATGTGAATAGTCAAATACTTGCGACTTTTTGTCTATTTCTTACAAAACACATTTTTCTGAAAAAACTGCACATAAATAGCTTTATCAAGCTATTTTGAATAGCTTAATAAAGCTATATAGCTTTTTCAAGCTATATAGCTAAATCAAGAGATTGTGCTGGACCTGTTAAATTGAAAAGGGTTTTAATCTCTTTAAAAGGAATGTAGAAAGATATTCTTACGCCAGCAATTTTAAACAGAATCATTAATTGTGCAAAATTTTACAATGACCTAAAGTTTTTGGTATTTTCGTAAGTTCTTTTGTAAAACGGGTCCCTGAACTAGCTCAAGACAACTTTCGCTTTCTGTGTGATGAGAAAATTCGAACTAGGTTTAACGAATGCACACATAGAGAATCTCTCTGTCGCATAAGTAAAGAAGGAAATAAATAGGATCAGCAATATTTACATTGGTTCTGTGTTTTCCAAGTTTTCAGAAATCTCATGTAGTTACTTGTAGGTAACTGGTAAGGTATTTTTTGTGCGTCTGTTTTCAAAATGAAACTTCCGCCAATATATGCTAACTGTTCCGCAGAAATATATGCATCGTCTGCTCTTAAAAATTCAATTAACAGTAAACGAGTAAGATTTAGAAAGATGATTTTAAAACTAAGAGTAAGATTTTATATTTTGTTTTGTAACAATTTTGAAAATATAATTTTTCTTAACTATACATTGCTGCGGCCCTATCGTTCCAGCATGGCGGGTTTCCTGTCAAGGTGTACTGAAAAAATCAAGTCTTGGATTCACTGGTCCTGGACGTACCTGTTAGCTGTGTGGGTTGTTTTGGTTGTGTTTGTTGTTTATATTCTCCGAGGCCCCTTGAAATTAAGTGAAAACTTCTCCTATGGTAAGCAACTGTTTGCATGCACAGTGCTTTTTTGTGCATCTCGGAACATCTGTAGTTTCAACGTCACAGGTTGCAGTTCGAAACACATGGGTGCAAAAAGCATGAACACATTATGCAAATTTTCAGTTTCAGACACCTAAGCATAGACAGAAGTAAAACTAGGCACCAGCAATTGCCAAAGGTGACCTGAATAGTACAGACTAACTCGGTAGATTATGCGCTTCAAAACATTCTCTTTACAAACCTTCATATTTGTTTAATGGAAACCATGTATTTTTGGGAGAGAAAAAAGCATTGACCATCACCAGTTCCAGTAATGAATGGTTCTTCCATAGAACAAAAAAGAAGGCTTGCAAAAGAGAAGTTAATATATAGGCTCTCTAAAAAGAATATCGGTAGAGCTCTGTGTGAAGTGTATCGCATTACACACATGTACATAACTTTTGTTTTTGGGTCTAACACTTAGACACAAACCTGGCATACTAAATAATGGACTGAATATAAAAATTTCCTACAGTCATAGTCTTAGTCTCTATTGATCATCTTGACTTAAAGAATCTTCTTTCATAAATTAAAAAGCAGATCAAGTGGCCAGTTGTTTGTAATTAACAACATGATGAAGGTTAAATTTGCTGATAAAACCATTTGGTATTCTATGAGATCTGTCTCTAGTATGATTTCATGATCTTGCATGTTTCATGATGTATAGAAGAATGGATTATATCCTTCAACTCAGTAGCAGAGCTTTATTTTTGTAGTTTACTGCATTAAGACTTTTCTCAAAACAGTATTTAACAAATGATATTGCATGGCTATCAACTGATCACTTCAGTCTAATTTCATAGAATTCCTTTCATGTTTAACTTTAAAAAAAATATATACTACCAGTAAAGAGAAAAAATATTCAAATATTTGCTACTTAAGACAATAAGCTTGTAAACTTCAATCCTAAATATTGCATGTTAAACTTTGTGCATTTTTTATGGCAAGTAGAGATCAAATAGGGACAACTGCATTATTTTTTTTATTGGTAAAAGTATTTTTATTTTTCACACAACAGAAATTAGATTTCTAATGCTCCTCAGTCTTACAATCTTTAACCCTTGTAACTCCCATTCTTTGAAAGAAAGATAATTGTGTGTATTATACAAACTTTAAGATTGACTGAAATCTTAAATTATATATCATGTATATTGAAAAAAAATGACATCATGGTCATATCTCATACCATTGACAGGTAAGGCCTAAAAAAAAATTATGTTTCCTGTAACCTGACCAACCTATTCAAATTACAGTGGGGTGGAATTTTTTTTTCTGTCAAAACTGTGTTTGATCAGTCAGGTGATGTAATATATATATCATGTATATTGAAAAACAAATGACATCATGGTCATATCTCATACCATTGACAGGTAAGGCCTAAAAAAAAATTATGTTTCCTGTAACCAACCTATTCAAATTACAGTGGGGTGTGTCAAAACTGTGTTTGATCAGTCAGGTGATGTAATTTTTACCAAAAATGTTAACTGTAGCTTTACTCGAGTTATAAATATGTTGGCTAAGTCAACATTCACCATTTATGAAGACTAATGATCATCAATATATCATCTGGCATTTTTTGCTTGAGAAGAGTTCATTTTGTACCGCTAGCCAGCCATATTCATTGGAAGTCCCCAGTTTATGTCACTGATCAGCATGTACAGATTCAAACCTGGTTATTTCAGTCTGGGGATGTTTGACCCCTTTAAATGATTAATGGTGTTTAGGCATTTATCGAAAGCAAAATGAATGTTTTTAACATGTTTAAACTGGATACTTCATCATGTGTTAATATATATACTGTAACATGAGCGAGATCCTACTTTAAAGAAAAAAATTCTCTACCTACCGACCCTTGATTTTTCAGGATTGTTTTGTTTTGTTTGATTATTGTTTAACATCCCTCTTGAGAATTTTTTCACTCATATGGAGATGCCACCACTGACCACTTGCTGGTGGAGGGCTGCAAATATAGGCCTAAACTCAGCACAGCACAGTGAGGAATCTTTTTTGTGCTTGCACCTACTAGACCTACTAGACCTCAATTTATACAGTCTCATCCAAAGTACCAGTCTCCATGTTCCACAGTGGGGTTCGAACCCATGACATAAGAATCAACTCGTTACAGCTCAGCTCAAGAGCAAATGCTCTAACCACTGTGCCACATAGGCGATTTTTCGGGATTGTTACAGGAAACAAACATATATATATATTTTTTTTTTTTGGTCCTAAACAGTGACTTAAAATGCTACAATAATTGTAATGTCATCCTTATTCCTGATTTGATCACTTTTCATGATTAAAGTAATATTGTTGGGGCCTTGGGTATTAGTCTGGGTAGCTCAGTGGTTAGAGAACCTGACAGGGGTCCCGGGATCGATTTCCGGTCCAGCCATACATTTTCTCCTTTCCTGTTACACTAATGATACTTCATTCAATCAAAACTAATATACATCTTTCATAATACTCTTTATCATGTTTATGAATGTAAATTTTCAAGATGATGACTTACAAAACAATGTGTTCATACATAATAATGAATTATTGAATCTTATATGGTCAAATGAAAATTTTGTCCCAGATCTCAAAGGAACAACACTCAACCCCCCCCCCCCCCCCCCCATTCTGATTTTAATTATTACTTTCTTCATATGCAGTAGAATTTTGAAGAGCCTTTAAGATTTTTACTATCCAATATAGTATAATTATGAGTGTTAACATATATTACAGATTTTCTGTTATTGTCCAGTAGTATGGGTTACCTAGTTTTTAGTAGATAATTGTTATCAATTTATGAGGAATCCCTAAGAATCAGGTCAATATCGTCCTTACCAGTCTTTCCAGATAAAGATTCCATATGTCACAGATCTTCATATGTTTTAGGTTTTCTGTCATAAACCAAACAGCTGAATCAATATGTTCCTCTTCACTTTGGTAGGTGTATACACATGAAGTTTTTATGATTCTTAGTACAGGAATGTCACATGATAATTTCATTAAGGAAAGTGAAGCTCATGCATAGACAAATATGCTTTAAATTTTATCTAAATGAAGGTACTTATTAATATATTGGTCAAATTTTTGATACAGATAGATAGTGTCTTTAAACTGACAACAAAGAAAATACTTGTTGCTTGTATTGTCAGAGGATGTGTTCAACATCTTACAGTGTTTATAATTTTTGTCATAAAGCAGGCATCTGATTGAGAATATAAATATTAGGACTTACTTTTAAATTAAAACAGATAATAATAATATACAGTAAAACTTGTTTAATATTCTGACACCACTGGTTCCATAGAAATTGGTCGGATTGGACAACATTCCAGATTAGAGAACATTTCAAATTAATTTTATATTTTCTCTTTTGTTCTTTCTATCTTATTGAATATCATATACATGTAATATAAATGTAACTTAGGACTAGCTGTTTTTTTCCTTACCAGTGGAACTGGAGGGGGCTAAAAGGTTTCCTTCTATCTTTCTGTCTGTCTGTCCCTCGGTTAGTCTAGCTGTCCCATTTAGTTTTCAGCACTTTTTATACCCCCCGCAAATGAAGTTTGAATCAGCATGTCTGTCTGTCTGTAGATGAGATTTTGTCCTGACCATTTCTTGGAAACTGTGGCAAGGATTTGTCTGAAAATTTGTACACTTATTATTTGCTATATGAAGGTGTGAACCTGGTATTTTCAACATAATTTGATAATTTTTCTGCATTTGACAGGTGTTTTTTTTTTTTCATTTTTATTGACTTAGTCATTTCGGGTTCATGTCTAAAGTTGACATAGAATCTAGAACATCTGTACAAAAATGTGAACTACAGCTTAAAACTACTCATTAGAACTAAAAAAAAATCACAAAGTATTAAAAACAGTTTTTAGCTCACCTGAGCTGAAAGCTCAAGTGAGCTTTTCTGATCACATTTTGTCTGTAGTCCGTCTGTCTGTCCGTCTGTCTGTCCGTCCGTCTGTAAACTTTTCACATTTTTGACTTCTTCTCAAGAACCACTGGGCCAATTTCAACCAAACTTGCCACAAAGCATCCTTTCGTGAGGGGGGTTCAAGTTTGTTCAAATGAAGGGCCACGCCCTATTCCAAGGGGAGATAATTAAGAATTGGTGAAAATTTGGTGTCATCTTTTAAAAATCTTCTTCTCAAGAACCATTGGGCCAGAAAAGTTGAAACTTATGTGAAACCTTCATTACATAGTGTAGATTCAAGTTTGTTCAAATCATGACCCCCGGGGGTAGGATGGGGCCACAATGGGGTATCAAAGTTTTACATAGGAATATATAGGAAAAATTTTTAATAATCTTCTTCTCAAAAACAACAAAGCCACAATTAGATACATAGGAATATATATAGAAAAAATTCTGAAAAATCTTCTTCTAAAGAACAACAAAGCCAGAATTAGTCATATTGATATGGAATCATCCTCAGGTAGTGTTGATTCAATTTTGTTCAAATCATGACCGCCGGGGGTAGGGAGGGGCCACAATGGAGGATCAAATTTTTACATAGGAATATATAGGAAAATTCTTTGAAAATCTTCTTGTTAAGAACAAAAAGCCACAATTAGTCATATTGATATGGAATCATCCTCAGGTAGTGTACATTCAAGTTTGTTCAAATAATGACCCCCAGGGGTAGGGCAGGGCCACAGTGGTGGATCAAAGTTTTACATAGGAATATATATAGAAAAAATTCTGAAAAATCTTCTTCTAAAGTACAACAAAGCCAGAATTAGTCATATTGATATGGAATCATCCTCAGGTAGTGTAGATTCAAGTTTGTTCAAATCATGACCCCCGGGGGTAGGGGGGGGGGCTACAATGGGGGATCAAAGTTTTACATAGGAATATATAGGAAAAATTTTTAAAGATCTTTTCAAGAACAGGAAAGCCATGATTAGTCATATTGATATGGAAGCATCCCCAAGTATTGCAGATTCAAGTTTGTTCA